ACTGGACTTTGCCTCAGTCCCCAACACTAGGCCTGCCCCATTAAAATCGTGTTGGGCAGGTTGCCCCTGCCCGACTCCAGGCTGGTACTTCCAGACTACACCACTACCAGGCTGGTCCCAGTGACCCCAGGTCCCAGACTAGCCCTCGGCTTCAGGCTAATCCCAACTCAGGCTCCAGGCCCAACCCAGCACCAGGCAACCCTGCATAGCCCAAGATGTTAGGCTAGCCCTAGTGCCAGGTTAGCACACAGACTTCCAGCACCAGGTCAGCCACTGAAGCCTCATGCTCCAGAGCAGCCCACGTGGCCCCAAACACCAGATCTGCCCCAGCATCAGGTTGGCACCTGTGGCCTCAGACACCAGGCCAGCACCCACGGACACAGGCTCCAAGCTGCCCTACGGGTCCACATTCCAAGTCAGCCCCTGCAGCCCCACACTCCAACAGACACAAAGTCCAGGCTCTTCGGGCAGGCCCAGGGTCCAGATCCATCCCAGCAGAACCCAGCCTCCTCTGGCAAACCCAGGGTCCAAGCTCATCGCAGAACCCAGTGCCAGGCCAGCTCCCAAGACCAGATGACTCACACCTGTCTCAGTGGCCCAGTCTCCAGGCAAGCCCTTGAAGACCAAGCCTCCAGGCCAGCACTCACTCACCCAGCCTCTAGACAGACCCTCATGGCTCTAGGCACAAAGCAAGCATCCACAGACCCCAGCCTTCAGTGGACGCAGAGCCCAGGCTTACTTCAGCAGACCAAGGCTCCAGGACCACCCTCGCAAACCCAAGCTCCAGGCTAACCCTGGTAAACCCAGGACCCAGGCCTGACTCACAGGCTCCAAGCCCACCCCCATGGTCCTAGGAGACAGTGAAAGCCAGGCATTGTGGACTCAGGTTCCAGGCCCATTCCCATGGTCCCAGGTGCCAGGCCCATTCCAGCAACTGGTTGGCTCCTGCAGATTCAAGCTCAAGGCCAGTCCCAGTGCCAGGTCAGCTCCCAAGGGACTAGGCTTCAGACCAGCTCCTGTGGACTAGGCCCCAAATAGGTCCATTCCACAGGGGGCCAGCTTGGCACTGTGAACCCTGGATCTAAGTCTGCTCCAGCAAACTCATGACCCACATTTTCCCCAGTAAATATAGTCTGCAAACCAAACCTCATGGACCCAAGCACCAGACCTGTGCACCTGCTAACCTAAGTACCACAACAGCCTGCCTGAAGACACCAGCAGTAAGCCTGCTCACAGACCACACCAGAAAGCTTGCCTAGAATCTCTGGTCAGGCTAATTGGTGAAGAACTTTCCCAGCCAAAGCCAGTCTGCAAAGAGTGGAGTAGTTCCTACTTCTACAAATGTGCAGGCACCAATACAAGGCAACAAGAATCACAATCAGGGAAACATAATACCACCAAAGGAACAAACATTAAAGAAATTGAGGTTTATGAGCTGCCTGACAAATAATTCAAAATAACCATCTTTTAAAAACTCCATGAACTACAAGAGAATACAACTAGACAAGTACACAAAATCAGGAAAACAACAAGCAAACAAAATGGGAAGTTCAACAAAGACATAGAAACCACAAAAATGAACCGAACTGAAATTCTGGAGCTAAAGAACACAACGACTGAACTAAAAAAATTCCAAAGAGAGCTTCAACAATAGATTCAATCACACAAAAGAATCAGTGCGCTTGAAAAGGGGTTATCCGAAATGATCCAGCCTGAGGAACAAAAAGAAAAAAGAAAAAGAGTAAGGAAAGCCTTTGAGAATTACGAGATGCCATCAAGCAATCCAATTTACATATTATGCGTGTGCCAGAAGGAGCAGAGAGAGAAGAAAGTTTATTTTAAAAAATAATAACAGGCCGGGTGCGGTGGCTCATGCCTGTAATCCCAGCACTTTGGGAGGCCGAGGCGGGCAGATCACAGGGTCAGGAGATTGAGACCACGGTGAAACCCCATCTCTACTAAAAATACAAAAAATTAGCCAGGCGCGGTGGTGGGCGCCTGTAGTCCCAGCTACTCAGGAGAAAGGCATGAACCCGGAAAGAGGAGCTTGCAGTGAGCCAAGATCGCACCACTGCACTCCAGCCTGGGCTACAGACTGAGACCCCGTCTCAAAAATAAATTAATAAATTAATAATAATAACAAAAACTCCCCAAATCTGTGGAAAGATAAAAAATATCCAGGTATAGGAAGCTCAAAGACCTCCAATCAGATTCAGTGTAAACAAGACTACCCCAAGATATATTACAATCAAATTGTAAAAAATCAAAAACAGAGAGGATCTTGAAAGCAGCAAGAGAAAAGAAGCACATCACATACAAAGGAATCCCAAGATGGCTATGAACAGATTTCTCAGTAGAAATCTTATAAGCCAGGAGAGACAGGGATGATCTATTCAAAGTGCTGAAAGAAAATAGGCTGGGCGCAGTGGCTCACACTTGTAATCCTAGCACATGGGGAGGCCAAGGCAGGCAGATCACCCGAGGTCAGGAGTTCGAGACCAGCCTGGCCAACACAGTGAAATGCCATCTCTACTAAAAATACAAAAATTAGCCAGGTGTGGTGGCGGGCACCTGTAATCCCAGCTACTCGGGAGGCTGAGGCAGGAGAATGGCTTGAACCTGTGAGGTGGAGGCTGCAGTGAACAGAGATCAGGCCACTGCACTCCAGGTTGGGTGACACAGTGAGACTCCATCTCAAAAAAAAAGAAAGAAAAAAACCAACAAATCAATATCAAAACAACAGACTTTAACTACACTCTAGACCAAACAAACCGAACAGACAAATACAGAACATTGCATCCAATAGTGGCAGAATACATGTTCTTCTTAAATGCACATGAAACTTTTTTCAGGATAGATCATATGTTAGACCAGAAAATAAAGCTTAACAAACTTAAGAAGACTGTGATCATATCAAATATCTTTTCCAACCACAATGGTATTAAACTAGAAATCAATAAAGGATGGATTTTGAAAAATTCACCAAAAAAATTCTAAAAAAAAAACAAAAAAAACATGCTTATGAGCAACCAATGGATCAAAAAAGAAATTAAAAGATAAATTTTAAAATATCTTGAGACAAATGACACAATATACCGAAAGTTATGGGATGCAGCAAAAGCAGTACTAAGAAGAAAATTTATAGCAATAAATGTCTACATCAAAAAAGATTTCAAATAAATAACCTAACATTAAACTTCAAGAACTAGCAAAAGAACAAACAAAGCCCAAAGTTAGTAGAAGGAAGAAAATAATAAAGATCAGGGCAGAAATAAATGAAACATAGACTAGGAAACAATAAAGATTAATAAAATCAAGAGTTGTGTTTTGGGTTTTGTTTTTTTTTTTGAGACAAGGTCTTGCTCTGTTGCCCAGGCTCCAGTACAATGGTGCAATCTCGGCTCACTGCAACTTCTACCTCCCAGGCTCAAGCAGTTCTCCCATCTCAGCCTCCCGAGTAGCTGGGACTACAGGCATGTCACCATGCCTTGCTATAAGAGTTGGTGTTTTGAAAAGATAAATAAAATCAATAAAACTTTAGCTAGACTAAGAAAAAAAAGAAGTCTCAAATAAAGCCAGAAATGAAAAAGAAAACATTATAATTGATATTACAAAAATATAAAGAATTATAAGAAACTACCATGAACAATTATATGACAACAAATCAGATAACTTAGAAGAAACTGATACATTTCTAGACATATACAACTTACCAAAATTGAACCGTAAAGAAATAAAATCTTAACAGATCAATAGTGAGTACACAGATTAAATCAGTAATAAAAAGTCTCCTAACAAAGAAAAGCCCAGGACTTGATGGTTTTACTGTTGAATTCTACCAACCATTTAAAGAAAAACTAATACCAATCCTTCTAAAACTCTCCCCAAAAAATCAAAGACGGAAACATATTTCTAAACTCATTTTATCAGGCCAATATTACCCTTCTGTCAACGCCAAAGACACTACAGGAAAAGAAAATTACAGGTCAGTATTCCTGATCAACACAGATGCAAAATCCTCAACAAAATACTAGGCAATCGAATTCAGTAGCACATTAGAATAATCATGCCCCATGATCAAGTGAGGTTTATCTCTGGGTTGCAGTGATGGTTCAACATGTGCAAATCAATAAATGATATACCACATTAACAGAATGAAAGGCAAAAACCATATCATTTTGATAGATGCAGAAAAGGCACTTGGTAAAATTCAACAACATATCATGTTAAAAACTCAGAAAAAATTGTTATAGAAGGAATGTACCTCAACACAATAGAGGCCATATACGACAAGCCCACAACTAACATCATAATCAACAGTGAAAAGTTGAAAGCTTTTCCTCTAAGATCAGGAACAAGACAAAGATGTGCACTCTCACCACTACTATTCATCAACATAGCCACTGGAAGTCCTGGCCAGAGCCATTAGGCAAGAGAGAAATAAAAGGCACCCAAACCTGAAGGGAAGTAAAGTTGTCCCTGTTTGCAGACAGCATGATCCTTTAGATAGAAAAGTAGATAAACGACCCTAAAAACTCCATCAAAAGAGTGCTAGAAAAAATGCATAAAGTCAGAGGATACAAAATTAACATACAAAAATCAGTAGCATTTCTATACACTAACAACGAACTATCCAAAGAAATAATCAGAAAAACAATCCCATTTCCCATTTACAAGGCTACAGAAAAAAAAAGTTAGACATAAATTTAACCAAGGAGGTGAAGCATCTATACACTGAAAGGTAAAAAACACTGATGAAAGAAATTGAAGAAGATATAAGTTAATAAAAAATTATATACTGCAATGACAGTGAAAATAATTCACTTTAGATTTGTATTTTTTGAGCTAGACATCTTAAGGCTTTTTAGTATTGTTTTCTCCTTTTCTCTTACCTTCTGTTCCCATTCTCTTACTTCTTCCAAACTCATACTCTTCAATTTTGTCCACTTATGAAAACAAAATGAATAATAAAGTCTAAAGAAACAAAAGTAAGAAACTACCTGAAGTCTTGCTAGTTGTGCAGTACGGGCAACTATCTTATTGTATGGTTCAACAATTTTTGCTTTTATCCTAAAGAAAAAGAAAAGAGAGGAGTCAGAATAAAATCACTTTCAAAATATCAATGGATAAAAATATTCCCATTCCATTTATTCATAAAATTAAGAACAGTACCTATCAACAGCTCCCTGTAAAGCCCCAATTCTCGTCTGCATCATCTGAAGAACACCTAGGAAAACATAAGCTTACATTGGCTTTACAAATTTACAGGGCATACAACTGGGTAAAAAGTTAAATTAAAAGAAAATACATGCATATATAATTTTAACTTTTTCTGTCACCATCCTAATCCAAGTAACCAATATCTTTTACCTACACTGCTGTAAAAGCCTGTAACTGGTCTCCCCCTCCAATCTTTGCCTCACAAAAGAAGCCTGACAGGGAATGGAAACTGACTGCTTAATGGATGTGGGGTTTCCATTTGGGGTGATGGAAAAGTTCTGGACCTAGATAGTGAGGATGGTCGCACAACACTGTAAATATACTTAATGCCACTGAATTGTATGCTTTAAAATGCTAAAAACAATAAATTTTATGTTACGTATATTTTAATACATTACCAAAAAAGTATGACTGATCTTCCATGATATCCCCTTTGCCCCATCACTCCTATATTAAAACTATAGCCCACAGCTTAATCTACAACTCTCTAGGCTTACAACATGAGGAAATTTTCACAAAATTGGAAAAATATTTTCAGGAAGATCAAGCTTAAATTTTATTATTTAGGCTTTCAATTAGTACAGATATTTAATTATTTCGAAGGCCATTCTTTAAAATTCAGTTTCTATATCCAACTGGCATAGTTGTTTTGAAAGCATAGTAATAGCTAAATTTAAGTATAGACATGTCGTCATATTTTAAATGAAGTAATGTTAGAACAAATAAACATTCCTATCAGCATATAAGTATAATAACACAGTATAGTCCAACAGAATCCTCTCTGAACCAAAGATTCCCACTTTTGCGCTGGTTTTGTGGTGTATTCACCATAAACTGCCAAGAATAAACTGCCATTACTTATAACCATTTTCTTACATCATATTCTCTCCACAACCCAGTCTCAATGGGTTTCCACCCATACTCCACCAAAACAGATCTTATCAAGGTCACCAGAAATCTACGAGTTGCCAAATTCTATTGTTGGTTCTGTCTTAACCTTGTTCAAGCTCTCAGAAATTCACAGCAGTTGACTACTCCCTTTCCGAAACATTTTTTTGTCTAGGCTTTCAAATCAACACACTTCCTGGGTCTCCTATTATCTCATTAGTTGTTCCCACTTCTCCTCTGGCAGACCTCTACATGTGCTGGAGTACCCCAAGATGTGATCCTCAGTCATCTGCTCTTCTCCATCTACAATCTTTCAGGAATTTCATTCAACTCCAAAGTTTTAAATAGTATCTGTTCAATAAAATACTGGTTTTATACATACACACATATACAGACATATACACATATATCTATGTAAAAAGATTTTCTTTATATATCTGCCTATGTTCTCATTCCCTATCTCTCTGTCCTCTTTCTCTCTCTTCCTACTGTTACATCAAATTTAAGATACCCAAGATAGTTTATGCCCTACCTTGCAACCCATCAAAAATCACACTTCTCTCCAGGCTATGACATTTCCAATACTCATACCATCATCTATCTATCCAATTTTTGAGACCAAAATCCTAGGAATAACTCATGGTGACTTTTTTCCATCAGCTCTTTCATCTGCCATCAACAAATCCTATCAGCTTTGCCTACATTTTACTCCATCTGCCACCCCTCTAATCCAAGGCACCATCAACTTAAACTATTCTAATATCAGGGACACTAGTTTGGAAGCTTCCACCATTGCCTTTTTCTATAGAGCTATCAGAGTAAACTATTCAGAGTATTAATCTCATCATACAATAACCTGATTAACTCTTCCAATGGTTGGCCGGGCGCGGTGGCTCAAGACTGTAATCCCAGCACTTTGGGAGGCCGAGACGGGCGGATCACGAGGTCAGGAGATCGAGACCAGCCTGGCTAACATGGTGAAACCCCGTCTCTACTAAAAATACAAAAATCTAGCCGGGCAAGGTGGCGGGCACCTGTAGTCCCAGCTACTCAGGAGGCTGAGGCAGGAGAATGGCGTGAACCCGGGAGGCGGAGCTTGCAGTGAGCCGAGATCTGGCCACTGCACTCCAGCCTGGGAGACAGAGCAAGACTTCGTCTCAAAACAAAAAAAAAAAAACAAAAACAAAAAACAAAAAACTCTTCCAATGGTTTACCACTGCATTTAGAATTAAACAAAAATCCCATCCCAAGAACCTCATCTACGATTCTCTCCCTCCTTCACTATTCTGGGCTACTTTCTGCCCCTCAAACATGCCAAGTTAATTCCTGCTTTCCCATTTATTGTTCAGTCTTCTCTCCAAATCTTCCTGAGATGGCTCCTCCTTATCTTAGATCTTGACTCAAATGTCATCTTCTCAAAAAGGCCTTCCGTCGCCTTCATCCATCCCCATCACCTGTTTCATTTCTCTGCAGAATTTACAAATAAAATTTTTCTTTCTGTTTTCTGAGATACAGTCTAACTCTATTGCCCATGCTGGGGTGCAGTGGCGTGATCTCAGCTCACTGCAACCTCTGCCTCCCAGGTTCAAGCAATTCTCATGCCTCAGCATACAAGTAGCTGGAATTACAGGCATGATCCACCATGCCCAGCCCTGTTTTCTATCTGTACTTTTTTTTTCAATCTACCTCCAGGACCAGAACATAGTTCGAAAAGGACAGTGACTTTTGTCTATCGTTCACATGTGCCTAGTACTTAACAAGTTCTTAATTACTATTTGATGGCCTGAATGAAAAAATAAATGAATGAGGCTACTTTTTTTTTTTTTTTGAGACGGAGTCTCGCTCTGTTGCCCAGGCTGGAGTGCAGTGGCGCGATCTCAGCTCACTGCAAGCTCCGCCTCCCAGGTTCACGCCATTCTCCTGCCTCAACTTCCCAAGTAGCTGGGACTACAGGCGCCCACCACCACGCCCAGCTAATTATTTGTATTTTTAGTAGAGACGGGGTTTCACCATGTTAGCCAGGATGGGAGGCTACCTCTTTTTATATTATAAGCTTAATAAATATTTCTCAAAATTCCATGAAAACAAAAACTCTATTGCTATAGCTTTCTGAAACCTAGCAAATTCTCAAAGTAATATTTGGAAGAATAGTTTAAAAAAGAACATTTTTAAATAAAATAGGCTTAAACATACCTCCAAACTACTTACATGGTAAAAAATTTTACATATTTAGGAGAATAAAGCAGATGAAGTAGACGCTAAAATAATATTCAATTTTTCTAATCTGTATATACACCACATTTATTTTTCAGCATCTCAAAATAACATTCTAGTAAATACTTAGAAAGACACATCTCTTTGAAGCAATTGTGAATGGAAGTTCATTCATGATTTGGCTCTCTGTTTGTCTGTTACTGGTGTATAAGAATGCTTGTGATTTTTGCACATTAATTTTGTATCCTGAGACTTTGCTGAAGTTGCTTATCAGCTTAAGGAGATTTTGGGCCGAGACAATGGGGTTTCCTAATTATACAATCATGTCATCTGCAAAGAGGGACAATTTGACTTCTTCTTTTCCTAACTGAATCCCCTTGATTTCTTTCTCTTGCCTGATTGCCCTAGCCAGAACTTCCAACACTATGTTGAATAGGAGTGGTGAGAGAGGGCATCCCTGTCTTGTGCCAGTTTTCAAAGGGAATTTTTCCAGTTTTTGCCCATTCAGTATGATATTGGCTGTGGGTTTGTCATAAATAGCTCTTATTATTTTGAGGTACGTTCCATCAATACCGAATTTATTGAGCGTTTTTAGCATGAAGGGCTGTTGAATTTTGTCAAAAGCCTTTTCTGCATCTATTGAGATAATGATGTGGTTCTTGTCTTTGGTTCTGTTTATATGCTGGATTATGTTTATTGATTTGCGAATGTTGAACCAGCCTTGCATCCCAGGGATGAAGCCCACTTGATCATGGTGGATAAGCTTTTTGATGTGCTGCTGAATCTGGTTGGCCAGTATTTTATTGAGGATTTTTGCATCGATGTTCATCAGGGATATTGGTCTAAAATTCTCTTTTTTTGTTGTGTCTCTGCCAGGCTTTGGTATCAGGATGATGTTGGCCTCATAAAATGAGTTAGGGAGGATTCCCTCTTTTTCTATTGATTGGAATAGTTTCAGAAGGAATGCTACCAGTTCCTCCTTGTACCTCTGGTAGAATTCAGCTGTGAATCCATCTGGTCCTGGACTTTTTTTCGTTGGTAGGCTATTAATTATTGCCTCATGCTAAAATGAATACTAAGCAATTCACACTTAAAGTTTTTTATTTTATTTATTTTCTGAGACAGGGTCTAGGGTCTTGCTCTGTCATCCAGCCTGGAGGGCAGGGACACGATCACAGCTCACTGCACCCTCAACCTCCTTGGCTCAAGCAATCCTCCTACATCAGCCTCCCAAGTAGCTGGGACTAGAAGCATGCACCACCATGCCAACCTAATGTCTTATTTTTTATAGAGATAGAGTCTCATTATGTTGCCCAGGCTGCTCTTGAATTCCAGGATCAAGTGAACCTCCCACCCTGGCCTCCCAGAGTGCTGGGATTACAGGCGTGAGCCACTGCACCCTGGCCTACACTTCAATCTTTTATGTTCAAATAATCTAGTGAATATTCTGAGATAATCATAGGAATAAAGTAGCCAACCTTTGTACTCTACACACTTGTACAAGATATAATCATTCTAATTCAGTCTAGCAGTGTATTTCAAATATTTTAATCTTTGAAGATCATCCTGGGAAAAACAAGCACATTAAAGAACTAGAACACATATTTAAAAGCCACAGTGAGAAATATTTCTGTTGTGGTGATTCATCTAGACCTATATACACTCAATGTACTACCATGCCATCCTTATAAATAAAAAACTAGCATGTTTTAAAAATTGCCATTAAAGTATTACTTGCTCTCAGAAATGTATAAAAATATTATGAGATTTAAACACATAATTAAAACTAGTGAGCTTCTGCACAACCAAAAACACTATCAATAGAATAAACAGACAATCTGCAGAACAGGTGAAAATGTCTGCAAACTATGCATCTGACAAAGGTCAAATATTCAGAATTTATAAGAAACTTAATTCAACAAGCAAAAACACAACTCCATTAAAAAGTGGGCAAAAGACAAAAAGAGACATTTCTCAAAAGAAGGCATACATGCAGGCAACACACACATAAAAAAAATGCTCAACATCACCAATCCTCAGAGAAATCAAAACCACAATGAGATACCATCTCACGCCATTCAGAATGACTATTATTAAAAAGTCAAAAAACAACAGATGATGGTGAGGCTGTGGAGAAAAAGGAATGCTTATACGCTCTTGGTGGGAAGGTACAGCCACCGCGGAAAGAAGTTTGACAATTTCTCAAATAACTCAGAACTACTATTCGACCCAGCAATCCTGTTACTGGATATACATTCAAAAGAAAATAAATTGTGCCACCATAAAGACACATGCACTCATATGTTCATCGCAGCACTATTCACAATAACAAAGACATAGAATCAACCTAGGTGCCCATCCACAGTGAATTAGATTTTAAAAACATGGTACATATATACCATGGATACCACACAGCCATAAAAAAAGAATGAAATCATGTCCTATACAGTAATATGGATAGAAATGAAGGTCATTATCCTAAGCAAATTAAGGCAGGAAGAGAAAAATCAAATACCACACAGTCTCACTTATTAGTGGGAGCTAAACATTGGGTACTTATAGACTTGAAGATGACAACAATAGACAATAGGGACTACTAGAGGAGGGAGTACCTAACTGTTGGGTACTATGCACACTACCTGGGTGACAGGATCATTTGTATCCCAAACCTCAGCATTATGCAATATTCTCAGGTACAAACCTACACATATACCCCCTGGATCTAAAATAAAAGTTGAAATGATTAAAAATAATAATTAATTGCCAGTACTAAGTCAATCAGTACTTAGAGCTTCTTAATTTTCCTAAGAACCTAGTCAGATATGTATTCCAGATTTCAAACAACAAACAACTATTTCCAAAAATATTAAGTTCTTCATCAGGGTATCTTAGAAATACTGTACATGCTGAGAATAAGTTAATATCTTTCGGTACATAAGAAATGCTGGGGGAAGCATTACAGAATATTACATCACAGAAAACAATATCCTCTCTCAAGAATTTGATCAACATAGGGAAAAACCACTTATCTTTATTTTGATGTACAATGATTAAAAATAGTAATCACAATAATGTAAAACACAATAGTAACAATTCATATTTATGAGATGTGGTTTAATTTAATCAAGAGGGAATGAAAAATTCATAAAATATTTAGTCAAACAAAAATAAGCAGATTTGTAAAAATAAAAATCCAATTATTATTCGACTATACTTTCATTAAAAAGAGTTGCAGAAAAGGCTCCAAGAAAGGCAAAAATAAGAAAAAAATTCCAGCCTCCTTCCAGTACTACCCACTCTGGTATTGTTGATGTTTTTATTGTTTTAATTAACTAACACAGGTGCACTAAATATATGCAGGCATTGTTCTAAGTATCTTGCTAATTCATTTAATCCTCAGAATAATGCTATGTTAGTACATATTATACTCTTTTACAAATAGGAAAACTGAGGCAGAGAAGGGTTAACTAATTTGCCCAAAGTCAAACACCTAGTAAGCAGTAAACCCAGATCATTTAGCTCAGGGGCCAGGAAAGTTTTACTAAAGTTTTACTGAAACATAGCCACACACATTTGTTTTCATATTATCTGGCTACTTTCACTCTACAATGGCAGAGTTTAGTAGTTGCAACAGAGACTATGTGGCTGGCAAAGTCTAAAATACTTCCCATCCAAAGTAGCTTGCCAAAGCTTGCCAATCCCTGGTCTAGTTCTACACAATCTCTAGCAGTTAATAGAAATATACCTTCCAACGACTCAATCCCAGTTGCTTGTGCCAGTAAATCTTCATGTCTTGCAACAACCTGAAAATCAAAAACAAATGATTAGCTTTTGCTCTGTTAGATATTTTTCCTTGTAACCACAATGTAGAATGGAAGGTCTCGCTTGGAGTAGAAATGAGGCAAATACAAATACAAAAGAAAAAAACACAGGTTTTTAAGGTGTGTCTGAGATGAGTTATAAGCAGGAACACACATACATTTACAGTTCAACACAGAGCAAGAGGAGTTAAAGCCTTTTCTTAGCCCTGTCTTAGTCTGTTTGGACTACAAACACAAAATACCTTAGACTGGGTAATTTACAAACAGAAGAAATTTTTATTGCTCACAGTTCTAGGGGTTGGGAAGTCCAACAACAAGGCACTGGCAAATTCAGCATCTGGTGAGAACCCATTCCTCATAGATGGTACCTTGTATCTATCTTCACATGGTAGAAGGGGCAAACAAGCTTCCTCGGGCCTCTCTAAGAAGGGCACTAATCACCTCCCAGAGCCCCTAGCTTTTAATACTATCATATTGGAGATTAAGTTTCAACATATGAATGTTAGGGGAACACAAACATTCAGGTAAGCCCCTTGCTATCTTAATGAGATGCTCAAGTGGAGTTGTGCCAAAAAATGTAAAAAACCAGCTCATTGTTGCCACACCATTACTGTTTTCCCTTTAAAGAATATTTTCAAACATCAGGTTCTCTTTGTTCTTGAATTTGATTCAGCACCACCAAGGCCACATCCTACTCTGGAAAGATACAGCACTCAGTGCTCACCTACACCTGAACATCTCTCTGCTTCCAGTTTCCCAGTGTCACACACCCACAGCAAATCCTTTTCCCTATAGATGTTTGATACTTTTATGAAAATTAGGGCACTGCAGATGGCCAGAACAAAAAAACCAAGAAGGTTACAAGTTAAAGGCCACATACAAGAGATTCCCAGAAACATCAAGAAATCATTCAAATCTTTAGAATAATGCAGGAATCCTTATTATTGTGTGCCTTTTATTTCAATGAATATGAAGTTTCATGTCTAGTTTGCTGACTGAAGTTCTTAATCACCAAAGATTAATTCAATGGAACCCCTAAATCCTCCACTTTGTCCTGTTTCAGATATCACTGTCATTCTGTCAAGTATCTTTCTCTCATATATACTCAAAGTATTACCCTTGGTCATCTCAGTCTGTTACTTGTAAAGTTCCCAGAAGATGTCCAAATTTTTCCCAGTCTACGGATACGGTCCTCAATATGTCCTTCTTAACAAGACAAACTTTCTTAAAATTATCTATTCTCTTTTATCACTAGTAATACTTTGGTAAGGTTAAAAAGCCTGAAACTATAGTTTCATAGACTCCCTTGCAACCAATTAAATGATTTTTCCAAGAGTTGTGGAAGACAAGAGAGAGGAAAGCTAGGCCAGGCACGGTGGCTCACACCTGCAATCCCAGCACTTTGGGAGGCCAAGGTGGGTGACTCATTTGAGGTCAGGAGTTCGAGACCAGCCTGGCCAACATGGTGAAATCCTGTCTCTACTAAAAATACAAAAAAATTAGCCACGTGTGGTGGTGCACCCATGTAGTCCCAGCTACTTGTGAGGCTGAGGCACAAGAATCACTTGAACCTGGGAGACAGAGGTTGCAGTGAGCCGAGATTGCGCCACTGTACTCCAGCCTGGGTGACAGAGCAAGACTCTGTCTCAAAAAAAAAAAAAAAAAAGAGAGAGAGAGGAAAGCTTACTGTTTCAGCTAGTAATAAAGGTTCTGAGACCTGAGAATTTAGACACAGTTAAGAGAACCACATTGACCACTCCAGTATTTAGTCATCAGGTATCTAGAAGCAGAATTTTAGCACTGGCATGGAAGGTAAGAAGAGGTACTTCCAGGCCTCTGTATTGTATCTGTGGTAGTTCCTTCAACTCAGTCCACTAGCTATTCACCCAACAATTTTATAAGTATCCAAACTCTCTGTATGAAGTGTCTTTCTTAGAGTGATTTCTAGTTCCTGCACTAAACCCTAATAGTAAATATTTTACAGTTTTAGACATCTCACTGATATAGACTACTGGGACTCCCAGACTTCCTCTACTTCACATCCTAGGCTACTATAACTTCTCTCTCTCTCTCTCTCTCTTTCTTTCTTTTTTGAGACGGAGTCTTGCTGTTGTTGCCCAGGCTTGAGTGCAACGGCACGATCTCGGCTCACTGCAAGCTCCACCTCCCAGGTTGAAGTGATTCTACTGCCTCAGCCTCCCAAGTAGCTGGGATTACAGGCACCCACCACCACGCCCAGTTAATTTTTGTATTTTTAGTAGAGATGGGGTAGTGTCTGTTGGCCAGGCTGGTCTGGAACTCCTGACCTCGTGATCCTCCCACCTTGGCCTCCCAAAGTGCTGGGGTTACAGGCATGAGCCACTACGCCTGGCCTAAACGTGTTTTCTAAATATCTGCCAATAAAGATTGAAATCGAATTATATATAATCAGACTTTTAGAGTTAAAATGACCTTAGAAGTCATCCCAGTCCTATCTAAGCCACTCAAAGAAACTAAGACACACAAAAAATCAAGTGGATATGTCTCAGGTTATACCAAATCTATGTTTCCTGGTAAACGATTGATGTTTCATACATACGTTCATTCATTTAAATATGTATTAAATACCTACTCTATCAAAGGCAACACTAGAAATTATACCATAAAATCGCCCTATAAAAATTACACAATTTTAGGAGAGGAAGGAATCTTCAAAGTTATCTACTACAGTCTCCTCTTCCTCTTGCTTATTCCAACCCATCTGATAGATTAAAAAACAAACAAAAAAGCTAGATTTAAAGACATTAAGTGAGATTAAAGTCAGTTAACAGCATAGCTAAAAGTAGGACCGGTCTCCTAACTTCTCATATTGTATGTATCCTACTCAGAATAACATTTATCAACTTTCTGTTATTTCAGCAAATGCTACATTTTGTGCTTATAAAGTATGAATTGCCAATGTAACATCCCAATTTTTTCTTATTCACATTGTTTTACTTCCAAAATTCCATTTTCTATTATCTTTATCGAACACATCCTATTTTTTGCCCACTAAATTCGTTGCACAGCAGTTAAGGTGGTGAACAGGAAGTATGAATGAAAGGCTTTGGTGAGGTGGTATATTAGTTTTTTAACAAAAACTGGTTTACAGAAAATTCCAAAAATTTACTTTGAAAAATAAGTCACACTGGTAAGTATGTGCTTTTTCATGTAAATATGCATTTGTATTTAATAAGATTACAAAAATGCTAAATTATCACTTTAGGCTGAATAATCCGTAGGGACCCTGAAAATCAGAATTACCTGTAAGTGTAGTTCTTTGTCCAACTGACTGATTCCTTGGGCAAGTTTTGCTAGTTGTTCAGCAATTACAGCTTGATGAATAGATTGAGAAGTGTAAGTCTTTACATCAAAGTCTTCGTTTAAAAAGTCACTATAACACTCTGGATTGGGGAAAAAATAAGGAAAAGTCCTTAATTACACTGTACTAAACCAGTTATTAAACAACAGAACAACGATAATAATAATTAAAATATTTTGATCCCATACTCTGAACCACTCCACTACACTGCTTAATGCTTACTTTTATCATGACCCAAAAAGAAGTATAACATTGAGAAAGAGATTAAAAACATAACTACTGGCCAGGCGCAGTGGCTCACGCCTATAATCCCAGCACTTTGGGAGGCTGAGGCAGGTGGATCACCTGAGGTCAGGTGTTCAAGACCAGACTGTCCAACATGGTGAAACCCCGTCTCTACAAAAATACAAAAATTAGCTGGGCATGATGGCGGGTGCCTGTAATCCCAGCTACTCGGCAGGCTGAAGCACAAGAATAGCTTGAACTCGGGAGACAGAGGTTGCAGTGAGCCGAGATTGTGCCATTGCACTCCAGCCTGGGTAACAGAGCGAGACTCCATCTCAAAAAAAACCAAAAAACAAAAAAAATAACTACTAGCTATAACTATTAATGCAACACAACAAGATCATTGCCAGTGAAAAGACAACAGGAAAATTGGCTATATATATAAAATATTTATGGCCTCAGATATCTCTAGATCAATACACAAATACTGTTATAGCAAAGTGAATCTGGAATTTTAGTAACAATAGGAAATAAAAATTTATAGGTGTTACTGAAATTTAGGATTTATGAGTGAAATATGTTAACGGAAAGAAAAGTTGTTTAAAGTAGGCCCCTAATAGACAGAAAACAGAAGTAATTCTAGATGTTAAAAAGATATCCCTCAATATAGAAATCCACAAATCTATGGATGAAAGAAAAATTAAGAGAATTGAAAGTTAAAAATAGATACCCAGAAGGGAGCTCATGGTAACCATGTACCAAATCTCCTAATGATATAGTAGATACAATTAAAGCTGCCTTCAGAGAGATGATGAAACAAGCAAAATAGAGTACTTATAAGAAAACCTAAATTGTCTACATCCGCTATAATGTATGCTCCAAGAGCGAAAGAAGGTCTTTGTTTTGTTTGCTAACTCATCTTCAGTGTCTGAACAATACCAGACACATGGCAGGTTCCATGAATTAACAAATCTATACATCAGCTGATAGTATCATTCTGGTAACAACAACAACAAAAATAAAGTCTCATACGCTTGATTACTCTTAAAATGTAGTAGAATGAAAGAAGGAAACTGCTACTTGGCTACTTTTAAGTCTGAGAACCACATTTCCTTCTAATTTGCCAAGTGCTTCTCAGAGCTAAGAATCCTGTCAGCCAGACAAATGAAAAAAGCCCTTCCAAGCAAAGGGAAAGCTCAGCAGTGGCAAATGCCATGGCATATTTTGAGAAATAAGGGGAATACTGATTTCAGTGTATCTAGATCGTAGCACATGTACGTTGGGCAGAAATGGTAAAGAATGACAGATGTGGTTCCAAAGGTTGGAGGGCAGTTTGAAAAGAGGTTTGTAAGACATTCAAAATGTTTAACCATATCTCGTTTAACCCAAGAAACTGCACTATCAGCTTTATGTTCCAAAACAATAATCCTGGCAGCTGTAGAGAGGATGATGGAAAAAGAATTAGTCACACAGCAATGTGCTGAAGTTGCCTCTTCCGGCTCTTGAGCACTGACTGTTACATTTTCAGGAATTCTGTGAGCCAGCTGACCTTTCACACAGATATCTTAAAATCTACGATGGTGAGAGTATTTACACCATGGCAATCAGCAAACACTACAAAATCAGGGCTTTTTCTAGTTTCCCACAAAGCCAATTAACAATATACCCAAGAAATACAACCACAGAGGCCAGTAAAGTACTATGTTAACAGCCTAAGTGACATAATGAAGGCCTGAATAAGACCTGAGTAAGTGGCACTAAGAACGTCAAAGTGACAAATTTGACAAATATTCACACTGCATAGGATGTAGGACTTACTGACAAGCTGAAAATGAGTGATCAGGTAAAACAAGGATGATTCCCAAATTTCTTGATTAAGTAACTGATATAGGAAATTTAGTTTTACACTAAGTTAGACCACTAGACACTGAACATACAAAGATGAACATAAACCTCTGCCTCCAAAGAATTCATAATTTACAAGGGGAACAAGCACACATTTACCTAACAACACAGTAAACACAGATACAGAGACTACCAGGGGAAAAGATTAGGAGAGAATAGAAAAAGTGATTCCATTTCATTTTTTCATATGTAAAACTTGCACTATTTGTTCATATGTAGGTTTTCATGTGTATTATAGAACTGGCACTACTTGTTTACTATCAAAATAGAAATGTCCATACAGGCTATGGAACGGCATATCATAATAAAATTAAGATAGAAATGTCCAGTAGGCAGTTAAAAATACAGTTTTATAATTCAGAAGACAGGTAAAGATCATACTGAAACCACAGAAAAGACCAGATGATTTATGAAAAAAAGTTTTAGAATGCACAGAAAGGCAGGAAAATGAGGAAGATAGGAAAGTTGGGGGTGGAGAGAGAAAATGAAAGCAATCAAAGAGACTAAAGAGTGCTCAGGGAGAAAGAAAGAGAAACAAAAAAGAATGGCAAAAGCCAAAAGAAGGGATAAAGAAAGTAAGTAGTAGTAGTATCACAGAGCTTACAAAGATCAAACACAACAGGATGTGGCATTTGAGGGCTTACAGCCTTTAAAGAGATGAATTATATAATGCTTCTCTTTTATAGTTTGCTCATTCCCATAGGAGGCATATCATAAACACCTCACCAATTTTCATAGTATGCATCTGTGCTCACCAAGCCTATCAATTCGATACTGTCATTAGCCAAATCCCTAATACAGTGAATCAAAGTTTCTGCTGGAAATGCTTACTTCCTCAGGAATGTTGGGGGTGGGAGGGGCAACAGAGACCGCTTAATTCAGAACAAACTGAACTGACAAGTATCTACAGGAACCTGGAAAAGAGCACCTGGACAATTAAGAATTTTTTAAAAGCACAGCACCCATAAACCACATGAGAAAAGTATTTCAAGAAAGGAATTAAATGCTCTTACAAGTTAAAGGAAAGGACCAAAAAAGTTTCCATTTGTCGTATGTGCAAGAAAATCATTGGAAACCTTGCAAAGTTATTTCAATGGCATAGATTGAGGGTGATTGAGTCCCTAGGAAACAGGAAGAAAAAAATCCAGAGCAAAGTAGGAGGGACTATCCTTAGAAAGGAGCAGAGACTCGACTGGGCATGGTGGCTCACGCCTGTAATCCCAGCACTTGGGGAGGCCAAGGCGGGCAGATCACGAGGTCAGGAGTTCGAGACCATCCTGACTAATACGGCGAAACTCCGTCACTACTAAAAAATACAAAAAAATTAGCTGGGCATGGTGGCGGGCACCTGTAACACTGCTATTTCGGAGGCTGAGGCAGGAGAATGGCGTGAACCCGGGAGGCGGAGCTTACAGTGAGCCGAGATCATCGCGCCACTGCGCTCTAGCCTGGGCGACAGAGCCAGACTCTGTCTCAAAAAAAAAAAAAAAAAAAAAAGAAGAAGAAGAAAGAAAGGAGCAGAAACTCCACTTCTGTTGCAATTGAAAAGGCAAGGGGAAAAAGGTGCAATGGATGGTTATAGGTTGAAGTTAAATTTATAGCTTTGATGGGCAAGAAATGGAGAAAGTTCACATCTGATGGCTCCTTTTTTTCTCCCCAGGGAAGCTGAAAGTCATTTGCTGAGCTTGAAGGGAAAGGTTTGAAAAGGATAAAGAAGATTTAAATAATCACTGGGGAGAACAGCAGAGAACCAAGGAGGAAAATACAGAAGGCAGAACTGAAGACTATTTACCCTCCAAGAACCGATTACAATTCCTGAAATACACCCTACTGAAACATATATCCAGTGTTTGGACTGTATTGTCCCTTCCACTGTTCACCTGGGGAAGTCCTATCTACAGTTTAAAACGTCTCCACCTAGAAAGCCTTTTCTGACATTTCCTAACCAGTTCCCAACCCCCAGTTATCATTCTCCTCTATATTAATGCTCTACTTTATACACAATCCAATTGCTATCTTACATCACTGTATTACGGCACCTACCTTTATAGCTCTACAAGATTATTTCCTCTACTACATGGTGAACTACTTGAGGGCAAGAATTGCACATATATCAGGAGCAATTGCAAATATATCAGGGTCTCTGCTTTGTATCTTAATTTACATTCAGTTTAACCAAGTTTTAGACAGAGACCCTGACCTAGTTTCCAACACAAAATAGTTCAGAAAACATCATTGCTTTTGACAAAAGTACATACATTATCATGAGAAAGCATGTAATTCAGGATGACAATAAAATATTCAACAGTCTGAGAAAATAAACAACAATTTAGAACTTTATTTCATTTATTACCCACTTTGGTCTTCAAATGTGTTCATGTGCTTCTAACTGCGACGATCACTTTAAAAAACATTCTGCACCTACTGTATGCAAGATACTGCTATTCAACATTGTGGGATATTAAAAAAAAGGTCGCCATACAGAAGAGATTTTAAAAAGTATACAAATGATTTTAGTACAAGGTAGAATGCGATGGCCACTAGAGAAAAAATTAAAAACAGGTGAGAAGGGCTTTATTTTTATGCTTATAAATTTGAACTTTAAATTCTGAAGGATGAGAGATTCGGGACATGGTAACTGGATTGACAGAACTGAATATGCTTTTCAAGTATATCTAACTTTTCTTATTTTGGGCAACTTCTCTCCAAACTGACTACCAATAAATTTGACTGCTAGATTCTGTACAAATGGTTAATCCCAACCTGAACGAATGCCTCAAACCTTCTCCCACGTCTCACTGTGGATAACTGCCTCATAAAGGAGTGGGAAAAAAAAAAAAAGCCGGCTGCGAGAGGGGTGACCTGTAGAGTCCATTTGTTAAAGGACTAGACGTTTCCAGTTCTACGTTAAAACAAGGCTCTACTTCATCATGCGTCTGCCGTCTGTTCTAGATCTTACGCTTTTGAAGAGCTCGAACGCTACACCCGTTCAAGAACTGCGGCAGCAGCCCGTGGCTGCCAACGCGGGCCACAGGGTTTGGTCTCCCTAAACTTCAAGGAAGCTGGAGGCATTGGGGCGGGGGGGGGGGGGGTGGAGTTGTAATAAGGTGCAAAAACAAAAACGGGGTGTCCCCAAGACACCGGAAAAGAGGGAGCCAGTCCCAGAGGAAACAGGTTGGCTAGAACAGTACCCAAGCCAGGGGGCCGGGCGGAGGGGAGTGGTCACGTCCAGACTGGAAAACTTTCTGCAAAGCAACGGGTTGGGTCCACCTCGCTGTCCAGGTGCGGAGCAGCGCAGACCCCTAAACCCACGACCTGGTCAGACCCCGTCTCCTTACCGTCCTGCAGAAGTTCCCGGACTGTCGCTGCAGCGGCTCCAGAACCTCGAGCCCCGAGGCCAGCCACAACGACGCTGCCGTCGCCACCTTCCATGTTGGCAGGTGCCGGGTTGATGTCGTCAGCGGCAGAACGGCCCCGCCCAGGTGGTGACGCAGAATCTCGGCGCCGCCCGACCAACCACCCCACGGCTCCAGGCCGGCCTGGCGAACTGATTTATCCCGCAGCTGGGCTAAGCCTGGTTAGGAGCCGCGTGGTTACTCAAGCAGTGGGTGCCCGGGATCCGAGTGCTCTGCGCCCAGCGCACCAAGGGAGCCAAGGCCGTCCGGCCGGCGCTTTCCGCTGTCTTTCGCAGCAGCTCTGGGCCGCGCCTCCTGGGCTGGCGTCGTGCCCGGGCCAAGGAGAAGGTGGGCACCGGAACCTGGCCGCAGCGCCTATCTGTGAAGCAAGTATTAAACCTCAGAACAGGGGCCGTGCGGCGTAAGGCAGGAGAGCAGAGCGGAGGTTTCAGGGAGTTTCGTTTGCCCTCCACACTCACAAGAGTCAGGCGTTAGTTGCTACACAGCTGTATCTGTCCCACCCCTTGACTGGCACTCCTGGGGTAATAAAAGCCCGCAGGAAATGCTTGGGAAGAAAAATTGCTGGGGATGAAGAGTGAAGAGAATTAGGGAGACTCGATGAAGAAGGAAGACTGAACCATAAAAGGACAAATAAAATTCACTGTCTCTACCCTCCTTCCTTCCATGAGACCTTTGACCTTTTGTCTTTTCTACCTCTTCCTCACTTTCAGCCACATGTCAGACTTTTTCTTAATTACAAACTGATAGATTGTCTGTATCTCAACTAACGGTATTGAGGCTGTAAGAGCATCAGGTTGGTTCCCATTGTATCTTCTCAGCTAATACGTTCGCATTTTTGACCTAGATTTCTTTCTTCTAAGATAAATACTGATAAATTAACAGGGTCAATCAACCACAAGTATGCAAGAAAGTCTTAAGCTTCTTCGCAAAAAGAAACTGTAATATGACTTTTTCATTTTCTACAGTAGGTATGTATCCAGGAAACCAATTTTGTCCAGTTCCAGAGCTACGTAGTTTTCTACATTCTGTTTCAAAAAGGTGCTACTGCTTATCCTGTGCTTATCGCTGTTCTAAGTATTTTATAAATCTAAATGCATTTCATACTCATAACACCTCAGGTAAGCAAGTCTTATGCTACACTGCATTGTGCTCTCTTTGTCTCAGAGGATTTTCCCTAGTATATAAGATCTTAGTCATGATGGGAATAGGAGTGATTCGTTCATTACTTGTGAATTAGGAATTATTTTTCCTTCCTTGACTTTATTCCCCCCAGTGGAAGATTTTAGAACAGTGAATAATATTCACTCATAGAGTGAAAGTTTTGACCCCTCTACTCTGCATACTCTCATGAGTTTACAAACCTAAGACTCAATCCATATCCTAAAAGGAGCTAATAGGTAAGGCAGGAACCCATTTAAACAAACAATTGTACCAGGTGCTTTGGAATCTTTGGATATACTTATTCCAGTAATTCCAAGCTTAGCTGCACATTGAAATCACCTGAAGAGCTTTAATAACACTGATGCCTGCATCCTGAGCCCAGACATTTGGATTTAATTGATTTAGGGTATGGCTTGGGCATCCTAATTCTTAAAAGCTCCCCAGTTCATTATAGTATACAACTAAAGTTGAAAGCTACCGATTGTTTTGTTTTGTTTTCTTTTGTTGAGTTGGGATCTAGCTCTGTCACCCAGGCTGGAGTGCAGTGGCAGGATCATGGCTCACTGCAGCCTCAACCTTCTGGGCTCAAGGGATCCTCCTGCCTAAGCTTCTAGAGTAGCTGAGACCACAGGTGCTTGCTGCTACGCCCAGCTAATTTTTATAATTTTTTTAGAGATGGGAATCTCACTATATTGTCCAAGCTGGTCTGGAACTCCTGCCTTGGCCTCCCAAAATGCTGAGTTTACAGGTGTGAGCTCAGCCCCCTGAAAGCTACTGATTTATTCTTTAAGCAAATAAATATTGAGGCCTTCTTCTATATGCCATTTACTATGACTGCAGGAGTGGATAAAAATGAAATAATTCTTGCTAAAATAACTAATAACCTTGTTGGCATTGCACCCTTTATTTTTGCCTTACTTTGATGTTTAAGATACCTATCCCCTCCTTCCTTCATAATGGTCTCTCTCTTTGTTTCTGAGTATCACTCTTTAGGTTTATTCCTCCCAGCTCCAAAGTTCATCTTCAGTCTTTTTTGCTCTCCCCTTTTCCTCTGTTACTTAAATATTGGTGCTTCCAGCAGTTTATTGCAAGATCCTGACATCCTTAAGTACCTTGGCTATTTTTAATTTCAACTCTTTGCCTAAAGGTTAAAGACTCTAAAGTTTGAGCAATTAGACTGTTCTAAAGTTGGCCCATATCCGATTCTTTTTTTTTTTATTTTTCTCTGTTTCATTTTTCCTTCATACATACCTGTTGCTAAATTACTAAGGCCAAAAACTGGAATATGAAAGGTAACCAACACTGTGAAATGGTAGGATTTTAAATATAGCAAATATAAAACATTTATAAACTCCATAATTTCATCACTTGTACCTGTACCTCTTGGGGTATAAAAGTGATTTAGAATGTAATTGTAGAATTATAATTGAAATTTTCACTAGATAGTATCACATTAAAATTTTTAAAAATAATTTACGTTTGTTTATCTTCTGATTCGCAGACAACAGGATTCAAGAATTACAATAAAAGCACCAGGATATCTTTTGAAACACTGACTACTTAGAGTTGCTCTATTAATGCCATTTAACTTTCCTGAATAAAACAAGATATTTCCAAATGCTAGTCGAGTATTATATATAAAATAAACTAAATTTCTTGGCTCACCAATCCCAACAAAGTAGCATGTAAAAAATGTTTAAATAACCTGAAAACTTACAACATGGTAAACTAGGGAAAAAATATCGTTTTCTACATCTTGTTTTTCCACAACTATCTTGGGTGGTTTTCCACATCTATTTATCTTACAAATAGAGGCAGCATTCTATAGTATCATATTGGATACTGTGAAAAGAAGCTATTAATAAAAAAATTTCTGAGCCCACAAGCCTGATAAAAAATACACATTGTTGGCAGTTGAAATTGTTAGAATGGAATTAATATAGTGAAAGCATATTTTCTCTGTAAAAGCTTACTGTCTTTTTCAGATTTGAAACAAATCTGTATTAATGAAGAGTGACTGCATGCAGACCACAATATGTCAAGAAAGAAAAAAAGATCCCATAGAAATGTTTCATTCTGGACAGCTGGTAAAAGTCTGTGCCCCAATGGTTCGATATTCAAAGTAAGTGTTGCTTAATGGTTAATGAACTAAGATGAAATTTCCCTTTTATGCTCTGACTTTTTAAAAGTACTATAAGACCACCAGCGTATGGGAACTTCAAACTCCTAGCTTTGGAATCATGATTTAGAATTGAGTCATGATGCTACTACTTGCCTAGTATATATGTGATCCTGAGTAAACAACCTCTCTGAGCTGCACTTGTTATATCTATAAAAATGGTGGTGGTTGTAACTCCTACCTATAAGTATATAGTGTATATTAAATAGATACAAGTATTGATGTGTAGATTTTTATGTGAACTTAAGTCTTGGGACAAATAGTGCAATTACTGGGTCCTGAGGTAGTGGTGTGTTCAGTTTTCGAAGAAATATTTCTTCGTATCTTTTGCTCATCTTCTAATTGGATTGTTTGCTCTTTTACTATTGAGTTGTTTTTTTAAAAAAGTTTGTTATAAAATATACGTAACAAAATTTACCTCTCATTTTTAAGAATACAGTTCAGTAGTGTTAATTACATTCACATTGTTGTGCATCTGATCTCTAAAACTCTTTTCATCTTAAAGATGGAAATTCTATACACATTAAACTATAACTCCCCATTCCACTGTTCCCTACAGCAGCCCCTGGCAACCATTATTCTACTTTCTCCCTCTATGAATTTCACTACTCTAGGTACCTCATATAAGTCTTATACATATTTGTTCAAAACTGGTTTTGCTAATATTTTATGCAGCATAACATCCTCAAGGTTCATTCATGTTGTAGCATATATCAGACTATTGTTCTTTTTAAGGCTGAATAATGTTCCATTTTATGTATATTTTGTTTATCCATTCATCTGTTGATATCCATTCATATATTAATAGAACACAAGATAACTTCCACCTTTTGGCTATCGCAAACAATACTTTCATGAACTATGGGTGTACAAATACCCATATACAAATACCCATGGTTCGTAACAGGTCTCTGAAACCCTGCTTTCAATTCTTCTTTGACTATGTACCCAGAAGTAGAATTGCTGGATCATATGGTGATTCTATGTTTAATTTTTTGAGCAGCTACTATACTGCATTCCATAGCAGCTGCACCATGTTACCTTACCAGCAGCAGTGAACAAGAGTTTTAATTTCTCCACATCCTCATCAACACTTGTTATATTCTGGGAGTTTTGTTTTTTTTATTATTATAATCATCCTAATGGGTATGAAGTGGTATTTCACTGCAGTTTTAATTTGCATTTCCCTGATGATTAATGATGCTGAACATCTTTTTGTGTGTTTATTGGCCATTTGTATGTTGTCTTTGTATAAGTATCTATTCAAGTGCTTTTATCCATGTTTTCTTGTTTTCTATTGAGTGCTGAGAGTTATTTATATACTCTAGATATATATTCTGCTTTGTCAGATATGTGATTTGCACATATTTTCTCCCTGTATATGGCTTGTCTTTTCATGCTCTTAACAGGATCTTTTGCAGAACAAGAGTTTCATTTTAATGAAGTCTAACTTATCAATTTTTTCTTTTGTAAATTGTGCTTTTGATGTCAAGTATAAGAAACCTTTATGTAGCTCCAGATCCTGAATATTTTCTCCTCAGTTTTTTTCCCTAAAAGTTTTATAGTTTTATGTTTTGCATTTAAGTCCATGATCAATTTTGCATTAACTTTTATGTAAGTGTGAGGCTTAGGTTAGGTTGCCTATGGGTATCCAATTACTCCAGCACCATTTTTGAAAGGCTGTGGGCCAGGCACGCTCATGCCATCAAATCCTAATTCCAGCACTTTGGGAGGCTGAGGTGGGCAGATCATTTGAGGTCAGGAGTTCTAGACCAGCCTGTCCAACATGGTGAAACTCCATCTCTACTAAATACAAAAATTAGTCAGCATGGTGGTGCATGCCAATAGTCCCAGCTACTGGGAGGCTGAAACAGGAAAATCACTTGAGCCTGGGAGGTGAAGGTTGCAGTAAGCCGAGATCGCGCCACTGCACTCCAACCTGGGCAACAAGAGTAAAACTCCGTCTCAAAAAAAATAATAAAAAAAAGAAAGGCTATCTCTCCTCTATTTAATTATTTGCTTCTTTATGAGAAATCAGCATTTTCTATTTTGTTCCATTGATCTTGTATCTTTTTCCCTGCCAATACCACAGTTTTATTATATAGCTCTATAATATGTCTTGAAATCAGGTAGACTGGTTTTTCCCAATTTATTTACTTTTTCAAAATTGTTTTAGCTATTCTAGTTCCCTTGCTTTACAGATAAATTTTAGAATGACCTTGTCTATCTCTGCAAAAAACCTTGCTGGGATTTTCATAAGAACTGTGTGAAACCTATACGTCAACTTGGGAAGAATTGACTTTCTTACTGTGTTGAGTCTCCCAATCCATGAACACAATATGTCTTTCCATTGATTGAGATTTTCTTTGATTTCTATCATCAGTTTTGTGTAGTTTTCAGGTTACAAGTTCTGTACATGTTTTATAAGACACCTGGGTTTGTTTTGAGCATGTTTGTAAATAGAATTTTTAATTTTTGGTGTTCACATGTTTATTGCTAGGACATAGAAATAGATTTTTGTATGTTGATCTTATATCCTGAAAACTTGCTAAACTCACTTGTTGGTTCTAGTTTTTTTGTAAATTCCTTCAGAGTCTATAAACAACCATGTCATCTGCAAATAAGGACAGTTGGATTTCTTCCTTTTGATCATGTGCCTTTTGTTCTTTATCATGCCTTCTTGCACTGACTAAAAGTTTCAGTGCTGTGTTGAATAAGGGTGATAAGAGCAGACTTCCTTACCTTGTTCCTGTCTAAGGCAAAAGTGTTCTGTAGGAATTTTATGGATGTACTTTATCAAACTGAGGAAGGTTCCCTCTACTTCTGGTTTTCTGAGAGTTAGCTTTTTTTTTTTTTACTATATATGGGTATTTTGTCAAATGCCTTTTCTGCATCTACGTGATCATGTGCTTTTTATTATTTAGCCTGTTAATATGATGGATTAGATTAATTGATTTTGACTATTGAACATTCTGTTTTAACTGGCTTTTTCTGACAACACTCCAGCAGGGAATGATTAGGGGAGTGATGCCACCTCATTACTATCTGATAGAAGTCCAAGTTCTTCACTTGGCCTCCTTCGACATCTGGTGGGTGAGGAGCTCCTCATTACTGCTGGACAGGGATGAGAGTTACAGTTCCCCATGGTGAGGGTAGCCTCATATATGCTGAGCAATAATGAAAGTCCTGGCTCTCCACTATGCCTCCTCTGAAACCACACCAAGCAGTGAGGAAGAGGAGTGCTTCATTACTGCTGGCAGGCATGGAAGTCCAGGCTCCCCTTGTGGCCTCCACTGATACCACTGGGCTAGGAGTGACCTCACTGGCCACCAAAGATGAAAGTTTCAAATCCTTACCTGGCCTTTTCGGACATCATCTCAGTAGAATGTTGGAGCACCTTGTTAACAGCCTTTAGAGGGTAGAAGTCTAGGATTCCCACTTGGCCTTTGCTGATGGAGATAAAGCCATAGCTTTTTCTATAGTATTTGGCTGGAGTAGTAACTGTCTAAAAGATTTCTGTCTTACTAGGTCAGAAAGAATATTTTCCTGGTCCCTTGGTTAGAGAAGGCTTTTGTTGGGGCTGTTTTTTTTCTGCATCCATTGTTGTTTCCAGTTGGCCAGCTCCTTCAAGTCTAGGATATTTGAGACAAAAATAAAATCCAGAGAACTCACCACCCTGTCATTCCTCAGGTCCTGAGGTCACTAGCCTGTCTGGCCATCTTTTCTTCACCTTTCAAAATTTTCTTGTGTTTGTTTTATATATAATATCCAGGGTTTTTAGTAATACTTAGCAGGAATAATAGGGAAAAGTATCCTCCATCTCCCCGTAGGTAGAACTTTCTCTGATATTTAACAATGCACTAAAATATGTTTGTGGTGTTTCTAAATGCATAATTAAGGTTTTATATGCTCACAGGTTGGCTTTTAGGACACTAGTAAGAAAATACAGTTGTGATCTGTGTTATACGCCAATGATAGTTGCCGCTGATTTTGTCAAATCTATAAAAGCCAGAGACAGTGAATTTACCACAAACCAAGGTATGTGAAACCGAGTGTACTGACTTTGTAAAACTTTAAATTTGTTTACAAACTCAACTATCTTGTCTAATCAGAAACAACACAATTTAGAGATTTTATGTGAAAAAGTTTTAGTTCTTTAGTGTTTTTAATAAGTATTTTTTTACCTGTTATTACTGAATGCCTTGTAAACTATCAGTGTATATACCAAAGCGTAAGGCCACTTTGAAACCCTCTCCTCTCACTAGGGCTATTAGAGTAGATGCCTGTCACACTGCCTCTAGTCTTGTACCATTCCAAACTATCCTCCAGGTGACCTATTGAAAATGTAAATTTTCCTCATTGTTCACAAGGTGGGATCCCCAGACCAGCAGCATTAGTATTATCTGGAAACTTGTAAGAAAGGGAGATTTACAGGTATCCTAAATCAGAAATTCTGGATATGTGGTCCAGCAATCTGTGTTTTGAAAAGCTTTCCAGGTAATTCTGAGCTTGTTAAAGGTTGAGAACTACTGGCTTAAAGACTAAAATTTTAGCACCTGAGGATAATATACAGTTTTTCATAATCTGACCTCTAAATATATCTTCTGCACCCTTATCTTCCTTCAGTTTCTCCCCACGCCCACTGACTTTATCCTTCAAAATTCCTAAGTTATTTTAAGTCCTTGAACATACCGTCTTCTCGCACCAGACCCCTTTCTCTCTCTTGCAAACTGTAGTTTATGTTTCTTCATTCAGCTCTCAATATTTGTAGCCATGAATCTTTTTTTTTTTAATCATCCTCTACTCATGTCCTCCCTGCTAAGCACAGGCTCTTATGTTGCACTTAATTCTACTGCATTATGATTTCCTCTTTATATGCCTGTTTCTCCCATTAGGTTCGGCCTCCTTGAGGGCTGTAGCTATAGAAATAGCTTGATTTGTATCCTTAGCATCTAGTACAGTGTTGGAAATATATTAGACCAATAAATGGTTGTTAAATTGAAATTCTGTAACTCTCTTGAGCTACAAAAGAGAAAGCACCTTACATCTCCATAAAGAATAAAGCAAATTCTCCTAAACCATCATAATCCTATAAATCAGTGGATTGCCATAGGAATCTTGAATCAATGCAACTAGGATGATGCCAAGAAATCTGCATTTTTATAAACATCCAATGATTCTCGTACAAGTATTCCTCAAAAGAAATGTTGAAATACATCTAAAAAGAGTTCATAACACTGACCCAAGGATAAGAAAAATATGTTCTTTAAAACACAGGAAGCTTTAATACATTTGGCTGTATTAAAATTTAAACCTTTGGGCCAGACGCGGTGGCTCATTCTTGTAATCTTAGCGCTTTGGGAGGCCAAGGTGGGTGGATCACCTGAGGTCAGGAGTTCGAGACCAGCCTGACCAACCTGGCGAAACCCTATCTCTACTAAAAATAAAAAAATTGGCTGGCTTTGGTGGCAGGCGCCTGTACTCCTAGCTACTTGAGAGGCTGAGCCAGAGAATCACTTGAACCTGGGACACAGAGGTTGCAGTGAGCTGAGATTGTGCCACTGCACTCTAGCCTGGGCGACAGAGAGAGACGCTGTCTCAAAAAAAAAAAAAAATTTAAACCTTTATATGTAAGAGCACAAATATGCTCAAAGACAAAAAACTGAGGAGAATATTTATAACACATGATAGATAGCAATACTAATTTCTTTGTTTTATAAAAAAATTACAAATAAGAGGAATGACTAATGGAAAAACTATATATAGAAAAATGCAAAGAATATGAAAAGAGCTCACTAATTAGAATATTCAAATGTTGGATATACACTGTATGATAAGTTGTGAGGAAACAAGAACTTTTATCCATATTGGTGTATGTATATATTGATAAACTCTTGGATGATAATTCTGTAATATCTATCAAAATGTTGTATGCTAAATGCCTATTAACAATTCTACGCCTAAGAATTTACCCTATGAATATACTCAGAGCATGTGAAACAGTCTAAAAATACACTGTATTTGTTCTGGAATGCAGGTAAACTAATTCTCACCTTTGGGAAGAGGGTCTATTTTGTCAAAAGTGTTAGAATTGTTTTCATTTATCAAATTTTGTACTGTTTGAATTTTTTACTGAGTGTAAATTGCTTTTAATTTAAAATACTTTAAATTGTTTAATGTTATATTATTTGGACAGATGCTTCTTAGGCTAAAAATCGTTATTGCTCTTTTATCCTGTACAAACATTAAAGTTTGGTGTGTGTGTGTGTGCAGGGTTTTTTCCTGTGAATTTTAATGTTGAGCTATTCATTTTGTCAGGTGATTGCCCATTGATTGTTCAGTTTGCTGCTAACGATGCAAGACTTTTATCTGATGCTGCTCGTATAGTCTGTCCTTATGCGAATGGAATAGACATTAACTGTGGTTGCCCTCAGAGGTAAAGCTCAAAGAAGTTGGAAGAATTTTCCAAGAGATTACAAAAAAAACTATGTGTGAACATGGTAAAATATCTTTCTAGTTTTACAAAACTTAAAAAGAAAATAGAGTTACAGCCCCGGAGCTCAAAACAAGAAGGAAGAAAATATAGGGAAATGTAATTTAGGAACATAAATTCAAAGGTCTTTTCTGATGACTGAAACGATGTATAGACAGGTGTTTTGTCTCCCCTCACCAATAGAATTTTTATGTGGCTGTGCCTTGAATCTCATCCATAAGTAGTTATATGAGAATCTAATATTTACAGCAATCCCTAAAATGTATTTTTACTGTCACATTCGATATGCTTGCTCTGAAAACAGATTGTTTGACTTAGGAAATCACCACATATTTCCTCCTAATTAATTCCCCTTATAAAAATACCTTATTATAATCACCTTTTCTTTCTATACCACAGTAATTTGGTTGGGTTTAAGTAACTGGGTATTGATAGGATGTACTTAATTTGACAATAATATTTCTTTTTTTTTTTTTTTTTTGAGACGGAGTTTCCCAAATTGGAGTGCAGTGGTGCCGTCTGGGCTCACCACAACCACCGCCTCCCAGTTTCAAGCAATTCTCCTGCCTCAGCCTCCCGAGTAGCTGGGATTACAGGCATGCACCACCATGCCCGGCTAATTTTGTATTTTTGGTAGAGACGGGGTTTCTCTGTGTTGGTCAGGCTGGTCACCAACTCCCAACCTCAGGTGATCTACCCGCTTCAGCCTCCCAAAGTCCTGGGATTACAGACCTGAGCCACCGCGCCTGTCCTGACAATAATAGTTCTACTGTACTGGCACTGTAGTAGATTATCAGTAATTCAAAATGTGTCCACAGAATAAAAGCAAAGTTGTTAAGTATAGCGTAATCCAAATCAGATGAGACATATTTGTATACTCATTAGGAGAGTTAAATAAGCTGTTTAGTGGTATTGGAATGCTGTAAGCCAAAACTATCTTTCTACTATTGAGACTAATAAAACCTCGTTATGTACAATAAACATCAAATTTGGAATTTTTGAAATCTGAAGTCATTGCAATTAATTACTTGAAATATTTAAACCTGTTTTAGTTGAATGACTTTTAACTTAATATTCTCACTTGCCAATGAAAACCATTTCTCCTGAGTACTTTTTGATCTGGGAACATGTTTTCCTAATCTCATATTGATCCACTTAGAAATGTTGAACCTATGAATTTTTAAAATCTGCTTCTATTCTAGATCACTAGAGAAATGGATGCACTTATATTTCAGTGCTTTCAGAATTTTGTCTTCTCTTCCAGTTATTTATAATTCACTTGTTCATATGTTTGCTTTACAAAGGTGGGCAATGGCAGAAGGTTATGGGGCTTGCTTAATAAACAAGCCAGAGCTTGTTCGAGATATGGTGAAACAAGTAAGAAATCAAGTGGAAACCCCTGGATTTTCAGTTTCTATTAAAATAAGGTAAAGACAATATTTCAATCTATTGATACGATCATCCGTTACTTAGGAAATAAAAGATTATTCCTTTTGTCTGATGCTGTTAAGAGTGTCTATCCTAAATAAATTGGTAGCTGGTGTATGGAAGTGTTGAAAATAAGACATTTAGTAAAAGAATATATACCATAATTTTCATGTATAGTCCTGAAAAACTTCCTCTTTGTACTTTTAACGAAAGTTAAAGCCTCCCTTTATTGTAAGTTTCACCAAACTTTCAACTTTAGTTATGTAGTATTTAATGTTAAGAAACATTACTGGTGCCAAGTATAGAAAACAGGAGAAATATTTGCACTAAAATTTCACAATGAAAAGAAAATAAACCAGGAATCAGTTTTTCCGTGACAGGTTGAAAACATACTTCTTTTTTTAAGACAGTGTCTCACCCTGTTGCCCAGGCGGGAGTGTAATGGCACGATCTTGGCTCACTGCAACCCCTGCCTCCCAGGTTCAAGCAATTCTCATGCCTCAGCCTCTCAAGTAGTTGGGATTACAGGTGTGTGTCACCACACCTCGCTAATTTTTGTTTTTTTTAGTAGAGACGAGGTTTCCCCATGTTGGCCAGGCCAGTCTGGAGCTCCTGGCCTCAAATGATCCACCTGCCTCAGCCTCTCAAAGTGCTGGGATTACAGGAGTGAGCCACCGTGCCCAGCCTGAAAACATATTTCAAGATAAAGTATTATGTTCTCCCACTTGGGGATGGGGGCATGCACAGCAAATATTAAGGTTTAAATTCATCTGTGACAGTACTTTCATGGCTCTTTGATTTATCAAAGCCAAAGCATAGAAGCACTAGGTCTAAGATAAAACTTTTTTGTCCTTTGTTGTCAGTAGTGAAATAGCTAAATTTGAGGTCTTGGGTAGGAACTGATCCCTGAAGAAAACCTTGCTGATAATGACATATAGTAATAATATGATATAGCAAATCTAACTAATTTAGTAGATGAAATATCATTTTAGTCAGTTAATGTTAGCATTAAGATTTGTGTGCTGTGAACAGATAAATATAATTTTGAAATTGTAGGATCCATGATGACCTTAAAAGAACGGTAGATCTTTGTCGAAAGGCTGAAGCAACAGGAGTTTCCTGGATTACAGTCCATGGAAGAACTGCTGAAGAAAGACATCAGCCAGTGCACTACGATTCCATTAAAATAATTAAGGAAAATATGTCTATACCTGTGATTGCTAATGGAGACATCAGAAGCTTAAAGGAAGCAGAAAATGTGTGGCAGATTACTAGGACAGATGGTAAGAAATAAATACTTGGGTTCTTTTAATTGGGAAGAAATGAGAGTGGGGAAGTAATGTTAATTTGATTTTCATTTGTTTTGTTTAACATTAAGCCATATTTTCCCATTGTACTGTTTTAAGCTAAGCAATTTATTAAAATGATGTTAAGTTTTCTACCTGGAAAAACATGGATTATCTTAACTGGGATAAATTAATTCAGTTACTTTTCTGACGCCATCATATCTAGTGACCAGTGAAGAATTTTCTACATAGCCTACTAGTAAAATAAAGCACCTAGAAATGAGAGTAAGTGAACTCGAGAATGATAAGAGCTAAAAGAACCCCAGAACTGCTGTGCAGTTTCATTATTCCCTTAAATTATTGGCATGCCAAGCCCTGTGATTGCTAGATGGGAGAATATAGATAAACTGAACTTTAAGCAGCCCAATTTATGACAGTCTAGATTTACCCTAAAGAAAAACTAAAGACTAACTGTTTAATGTAAAAATCTTTAAAAAATAAAGATTTCTATAAGTACATTTAAACTTTCCTGGTTTATAAAAGGTACCAAAATTAATTCTTTTGTAATTGAACATACTAACGTAATAAAGACATCACAAAACCTTGGTGATAATACTTTTTAAAAAAAATTCTGTTTGCTTCATTGAGCTTGAACTAATAACCAGGGGTTCTTAATGTATGGACAAATATGGTGTGCTTTAATTTGTAGGTGTGATGGTTGCAAGAGGACTCTTAGCAAACCCGGCCATGTTTGCTGGATATGAGGAAACCCCACTGAAATGCATCTGGGACTGGGTTGATATTGCTCTTGAACTCGGGACTCCTTACATGTGTTTCCATCAACATTTAATGTACATGATGGAAAAGATAACTTCAAGGCAGGAAAAAAGGGTATTTAATGCTCTGTCAAGCACGTCAGCAATCATAGATTACCTTACAGACCATTATGGCATTTGACTAGACTTCCCAAATAATTTTAATATATACTTTTAGACCCACAGTGAAACCACAGGTCATATTTTGTACTTTAAACTAGTAGCTCCCAAATTTTAGTATAAAAACAATCCCTGGGAGCATTTTTTAACAGTCAGTCATAGACCCCACCCTCAGAGATTCTGATTTGGTAGATCTGGGGTAGACCCAGAAATATACAGTTTAAAGAAAACTCCCGGTAGTTCAGACATCCTGATCATCCTAGGAAAACATTGACAAATACTGCTCTGAATACTGTTATATAGATATTAGGGGGATGGGTAGAGTGGGAATTTTTTCCTAAAGGAATCATGTTTTATCATGTTTTTAACATTTTAAAATAAAATTTATTTCAATATTAAGAAAGTATGGCTCATGGTATCTATAAGTTAACAAGAAGTATGCAGGTGCAAAAAAGTGGTGGAACAAATACCAACATCCATCCAAAATGAAAAAGAACAGGAAATTCTGAATAGAATTGCACTCAGAACTTATCTTAAAAATTCCAATTGGTTAATGACATTAAATTTGGTACATTTCAAAACTTCTAGCTCCTCCGAAGATTGAAAGCTTAATAAATAATACCTGCTACCTAAAAAGATAAAATTAACTGCAATCTACCATATCTTAAGTATAGGAAATTTGATAGCCAAGCTGGAGATGATTATATATTTGAAATATTTCCTAGAGAATAGTAACCAGGTTTTGTTTTTAATTTTAAAACCTAATTTTCATACTCTCTGTTTAATGATACTACTTTTATGCCTCTCAGCAGTTGATTGTAACTTTAAAGTCCCATGGTTTGGGAGTGTTATTAATAGATTTTGTTACCGGTGGGCATGCACTGCAAGAATTAAGTATCTCAGACTGAAATAAAACAGTTCGTAATTAAAGTATTATTTATTTTGCCAACATGAAAACTGTTATAAGGAAACAATTATGTAAAACTGTTTAATTCACGTTTGGGAATATTGAATGAATCCATTTTAACGTAAGCACCGTGGTGCCATCTTTTTTCTTAGTACATTCTGTTTTCACTTTTCAGTTAATGCATTTTTTTTTAAAGATAACTGACTTTTTCATTTTCTATGACTACTGTACAAAATAGGGAGGTATGGTCAGAACTCTGAATTGAAATACCCTAGTGTTGTGAGCACAGCATCATCACTACAGTAATGTGCTCGGTGTTTGGAAGGAACCAGTGTGGAAGTTCTAACACTTTTGATTAAAAGTAACTTCCTGGCCGGGCGCGGTGGCTCACGCCTGTAATCCCAGCACTTTGGGAGGCCAAGGCTGGCAGATCACGAGGTCAGGAGATAGAGACCATCTTGGATAACATGGTGAAACCCCATCTCTACTAAAAATATAAAAAAATTAGCCGGGCGTGGTGGCGGGCACCTGTAGTCCCAGCTACTCGGGAGACTGAGGCAGGAGAATGGTGTGAACCTGGAAGGTGAAGCTTGCAGTGAGCCAAGATTGCACCACTGCACTCCAGCCTGGGCGACACAGCAAGACGCGTCTCAAAAAAAAAAAAAAAAGTTACTTCCTGGCTGGGCACAGTGGCTCACACCTGTAATCCCAACAGTTTGGGAGGCCAAGGCAGACAGATCACTTGAGTCCAGGAGTTCGAGACCAGCCTGGCTAACATGGTGAAACCCTGTCTCTACTAAAAATACAACAATTAGCTAGACATGGTGGCAGGCGCCTGTAATCCCAGCCACTCAGGAGACTGGGGCCAAAGAATCGCTTGAACCTGGGAGGCAGAGGCTACAGTGAGCCGAGATCGCACCGCCGCAATACAACCTGGGTGACAGAGGGAGACTCCATCTCAAAAAAAAAAAAAAATCTTCCTTACGGTTATGTTCAAAGTCTGTGTTTTCTATTTTTCTGTTACACGTGATCCAGATTATTGGTGATAAATTCAGAAAAAGCCAACTTAAATGTGTTTTTGAATGTTTTATATTCTATCATTATCCATTTTCAGCATTTGTTTACTATTCCCCAAGTAATTGTAACCAGGATAGTACTTTTATTAAATTCCTGATACGTTGTCAATATTGAAAAAACTCTTCAACAATTTAAATGTACACGCACAGTTTGAAAAGCTGGAAAATAGTAATTAAAAGAATATCCCCATACCCACCTTTCGTACCAGTCCCCAAACATCACGCTAAAGTTTACTGCCTCTTGCCAGCCCATGGACGGGAATGGGAACGCCTACGGAATATGTTGTGATACTACAGTTGATCCTACCTTCTCTAAAACAAAATGCTGCACGACCACCTCATCCTGGCCCCTTATTAAATGATAGCTTAATTCTGGACACAAACAGTTCCCACCATAAAAAGAGAGGAGGTGACCGGAAAGGAGTGCGTCTTAAGCGCGTTCGCTGAATTTGCACCACCCAATCCAGCCCCCGCCCGGCCCCGCTCCTTAGACCTCCACTCCGCGCGCCCTCCCGCCGGGGCTGCACTTAGTCTGCCGTCCTAAAGAAGTTGCACTCCGATCCCCAAGCATCAGGTCAAAAGTCTAATTCATGCTCTGACTCCTCCGCCAATTAGAAAACAATTGTTGCCAATATACGTGGTCGCGCCGCCTGTGACTTCAGACGGGACGGGCCCGCGGGCGGGAAGCCTGCGGGGCGGGAGGCTGGGTGGGGCCCTGGCTCCCCTCCCCCGCCCGGGCGCGGCGTCTGACGTCCCGCGCGTCGGCGGCCGCGGAGCAGCGCGGGGAGCCAGGCTGGCCGCCGGCGGGTAAGGGCGGCCGCGAGCCGGGAACCCGTGGGGCGCTAGGCCGCGGAGGGAGAGCGCCGCTCCCTGGTCTGCAGAACCCCGCGGAGCTGGCCCTGCCTGGTCCGCGGAGCGGTGGTCGAGGGCCCGCGGCGCCTTCTGGGAGCGGGAGGGCCGGGAAGCCGGGCGTTGGTGGAGGGTGGCGTTGGGTTTCTGTCGCCGCGAAGCTGGCAGAAAAGGCAGTGGCCAGCGGGCCGCCTCGCCAGGTCCCACGACTCCCAGGGAGGTAGCCACCCGCTTCCCGGGCCACCCTTTCCCCTTTCCTGACCGGGGTCCGTGCCGGCCTCCCAGGTGCGGGAAGGTGGGACACGGTACATCCCCCGGACAAAAACGCTGCGCCTCGGGGCATTGAACGGTTTTGTTTGAAAGGAAGCAAGATAAAAATAAGCGTTTCTCCATTTAGGTGTGAAGAAAAAAAATGACACTCCAATGGGCGGCAGTGGCAACCTTTCTTTATGCCGAAATAGGACTCATTTTAATCTTCTGCCTACCTTTTATTCCTCCTCAGAGGTAGGAAATCTTCAAATCGTTAACTATGATAAATATTGGATCGCTCCTAATGTAAAATGAAAGAAGTTTTCTGAACATTAAAAAGTTTCGAAAGTCTTTGAAAATAAACACACCTAACGAATTAGGTAGTATATAATGACAATATTAAAATAACATTTTATATAAAACTCTGTTACGTGTACAAGTGAAATAACTTTTTCTTCCCTTCTAAAAGGAAAGGGGCCTATGCTTTTGATTCTGTTGATTACAGATATAATAAAGCAACAGTTATACTTTTAACACCTGCCCTGCCTTGTCTCAGGTTTTACCTTTGTTTTATTGCCCTGAATTGGAGCCATGAACTAAATAAATGTAAGTGGATAAATCATGTTTACAGTACAGCATAGGTGTAAAAGTGTTTCATTGAGGCACTGGATCAGCAATTTAGAAACCAAAGCCAATAAATTATTCTTAGTTTTGGCCTATGTAACCGATAAATAGTTTCATTAATGTTTAATGACAATTTTACTACTTTTGGTTTCACATAAAATTAACGAATGTCTATTAAAAGTGCTGAATGTAAAAAGTATCACAACCATGTATTAGCTTTAGTTCTTTAGTGACGGATCTAAGGTCTTTAAGAACCAAGTACAGTGTTTCAAGCCAAGCACTGGCTCATTTTACCCTTGAAATAATCTACTTTTTAGTCGTTTAGTTTTAGATCCAGAAATTTGATAGTATGAATGGGGAAATGCACACGTAATAAAAATGTTGCAAGACATTTGTTCATATTCCTGGCATAAAAGAAAATCTTTCGTAAATGAGATCCTAGAGATAACTCACTAAAGTGTAGTAAAATCCCAGGAGGACTGGGAGAAACTTCAAGAAGTTTTACCTTAGCTCAGGGTCCAAATAGTCTTTCACAACTCCTAACTTGCTCCTTACCTGCCTGGATTTCTGCTCTCTTCTGTCCTTCTCTATCAGCTAAGCTAAGCTCAGTACGTTGTTTCTTACTAAAGAAAAAAAATTGAATCATCCTGTAGGGTCTTTGATCTTATTTGATCCATCCCACCCGTGTTCTATAGATCGCATATTGCAACCCAGGAGGGCAAGTAGCCTAAGGTTACCTAGCTGGTAAGTGACAGGTTCTAGATAAAAATCTGGCTTTTAGTCCAGTGTTCTTTCTACTCCGTCATGCTGCCTCTCATCCTGTAGGTTTTGTTTCAAACTCAGTAACACCCTGTTTTGCTTTTTAGTAGTATTTGCAATGATAGAATCCTATATATTCAAGAGAAAGAAAGATCTTGTATGTAAACATCTAATTTATAGATAAGACTTAAGGGTTTGCAAAGAAGAAAAAATTGTAAGTTGATCTTTTCTCCATCAGAGTGATCTGTAAGTTATGGATCAATATTTTTCTTCCTGCCAAATAAAAATTTTACCCATCCTGATCAAGTGGCTGTTAGATAGATGTGTGTATATTTGCACATGATATATAAATGTATTCTCATGTACAAATATAAAGAAAATATGGTATGTATGCACGCAGATCATTTATAATGTGCCCTAACTATGTGTGTATCCACATCTTTTTATCTTTTATATGTGTATCACCATAATCTTTAAGAAAATATTTCATCATTTAGTCTCTATTATTTTCTTACATAACCCAGTGGTTAAAGGCACATGCTCAGAAATCAGGTCACCTATAACTGCATGATACTAACCTTGGGCATGCTCTTGATCCTCTCTGATCTGTTTCCCCATCTGTAAAATGGAGATAGTACTAGTGTCTACCTCATATGGTAGTTGTTGTAATTAAATGAGATAAAACATGTAAAAATACTTAGAACCATAATATAGTGAGAACATAATATGTTGTAACTCTGATAAGGTGCTCAAATGCTAGTTGTTCCCTGTGGGAGGTCTCTTATGTTCCCTTTTACACCACACCAGACCTTGAAGAAATAAATAAATTTCCATTTGGACCTAGATCAAGATATTACCACTTATGTTATCTTAAAAATATAAAATTTTATATTGCATAATTTAAATATTGGCTATATAAAATGCTTGGAATTGGAAGCAGAGAAAAAAGGAACCAATTCATCTGTATGAATCTCCTTCACCCCACCAATTTCAAGTAGTTAAAGTTGTCCTAATCTTAAAGTGAAACTTTCTTTTTCAAGTTGTAAGTGCTTGAAGCGTAAGTGCTTACTATATTTTTCTGCCTCCTTTCGACTAAAGTGTTACTCATTTAAATTGCCCATGTACAATTGCATGATGGATTATTTTGTCACTCTGCCATTTACAACCCATGCTTTCTTACCACTGTCTTTGCTTATACTGTTCAATCCATCTAGACTACTTCCCCATCTCATTTCCTCTATGTTCACATCTTTATCTGTAGTAATTACATGGTTTTTTATATATATATATTGTGTGTGTGTGTGAAAATTATCGTTACATAATTAAGATTTTTTCAATTTATGTATATAATACCTGGGTAATTTTTATAATTCCCTCATGGTTAAAGTAGAGAAACTTTTACTTGGAGGATATGTTAAAAGTGTACTATATAAAAATCAGTGTGTAGAGTTAGACCCCACTCCTAAAATGTTGCCAATTATTAGAACAATATATCTTTGTTATTTCTAAGTCATTGCTCTGACCATGAAAAAGATACAGAGTAATAGCTTCTATCAACAATATAATATTTTACTACTGCAAGAATTCCTTTTTAAGGTTTTGCTCATGTGTGGTTTACTTTTAGAATATTTAAGCCACCAGACAGAGGATAATCAAATATCAGATTATTATTAAATTTGAAAGAGTTGTTTTTTAATTCATGAGATATTCTGTCATGTCAGAATTAATAAATTTTAAAATTAAATTTCTGTAATTCTTTTTACTTGCTACACAATTACAAAAATGTTACTTCAGTATTTAGAAAGTATTTCAAAACTTTTAGTTTTTTTATACCTAATATAATTGTATTGCTTTACAGATGGCAGAAGATTTTTTCATTTAATGTCTGGGGTAAAATTGCAACTTTTTGGAATAAGGCTTTCCTTACCATTATCATCCTATTGATTGTTCTATTTCTAGGTAAGTACTAGATTCCTTCTTTGAATAAATATAACTCTATTGTTTGTTAAATGAATTTCTTTTTAATTAATAGAGTTGATGTTACAATTTGTGTACAGTTGACTTTATATAGTATATTGATACTACATAGAGTGGATACTGATATATTGATACACAGTTGATAGATCCTACCATTCTATATGTTCAAACTTAAGTTTCAACAGGGCACTGTGATTCTTAACTCCTTTTAGGTTATTTTAAGATTTAAATGCTGTATATTTATGCATACTTTGCTGTTCAGAGTCACCAGACTTTATTTTTCATGGTGTTGTCTCTCCTTTGTTACTGTGATGTCCTAGGCACCCAGGAGCTTAGCTGTTAGAAAGGCAAATAAAAGAATAGAATCATTAGGCTCTCCAAGGACGTCTTAGATGCAGGGTGTGGATTTGGACTGGATTAAAAAATAAACATGGCCGGGCGCGGTGGCTCATACCTGTAATCCTAGCACTTTGAGAGGCCAAGGCGGGAGGATTGCCCGAGTCCAGGAGTTTGAGACTAGCCTGGGCAACATAGCAAAACCTTATCTTTACAAAAAATGTAAAAATTAGCCAGGTGTGGTGATGTGCACTTGTAGTCCCAGCTCCTCGGGAGGCTGAGAGACTGGAGGATTGCTTGAGCCCAGAAGTTCAAGGTTGCAGTGAGCTATTGCACTCCAGCCTGAGCAATAGAGCAAGACCCTTCGTTTAAAAAAAAAAAAAAAACTGCAACTTGGGGACTACTGCAAAAATTTGAATATGGAGTGATTGTATAATATTAGGGCATTTTTGTTAACTTTAGTTGTGATAACAGCATTGTTACATAACAGGGTCAGCAACCTATACAGCCTGTGGGCCAAATGCCTGTTTTTGTAAATAAAGTTTTATTGGGAAATGACCATGCCCATTTGTTTATATAACGTCTATACACGTTTTTCAGCATGTTTTAAATTTTCATGATAACTATATTTTAAAAATTAAAAGTAGGCCTTTAGGTTCTTGTCAAACCAGAAGTTCCGTGAGTCTTAATTATCACCATGTTTTTCTAGTTGTTGTTACTGAGCTCAGAGAGATTAAGTGACTTGTCTAAGATTACCCAGCTACTTCTTGAAATGCCCCTTCTTGCACAGAGCATGTTTTCCCTCAGAATTCCCTCAGAGTTGTTGTGTTGTTGGTAAAATAGGATTTAGAGAGGCAAACTTGGGCCCCTAACCGCCATCTTTGACACTGTTTTGTGAGATAATGTCTTCCATGTTCCAAACCACCAACCTCTCAAATAGAATCCTCTTTATAAAACTAAGAACATCTGGCATGAGAAGGGATGGTATTGTCAAAAACAGAAAGGTATGAATGGTTTGTGCCTCTTTTCAAAATGTAAATATTTGTCTCTTGGTACATTATTAATGTTATGGATTGAATCTCCAGCCATATAACTAGTCACAACAAATCAGTAAAGAACAATAAGGAAAACCAGTTCCAGTTCTGCCACCAGCTAACTAAATGACCTTTGAAATGGCTTTTATTTTTCTGGGTTTGATTTATTCATCTTGTGAAATGGAGAGATGGAAATAATCTCTGCAGCTCCTAATTTTATGATCTTCTAACTCTAAAATTATCACAAAAATTTATACTGAAAACTGTCACTTATGTAAGGGAGGAGAGTTGTAGTGTAAGTTCTTTTGATTACATTAGAAACACACTTGGCTGGGCACGGTGGCTCACCTCTGTAATCCCAGCACTTCAGAAGACCAAGGCAGGCGGATCAACCTGAGGTCAGGAATTCCAGACCAGCTTGGCCAATGTGGTGAAACCCCATCTCTACCAAAAATACAAAAGTTAGCCGGACATGGGGGCGCATGCCTGTAATCCCAGCTACTCAGGAGACTGAGGCAGGAGAATTGTTTGAACCCGAGAGGCAGAGGTTGCAGTGAGCCGAGATTGTGCCATTGCACTCCAGCCTGGGCAACAAGAGTGAAACTCCGTCTTAGAAAAAGAGAAATCAACTTGAACTCACTTGACCGAAAAAGGAAAAATTTGTAATAAAATTTGGGATTGTTGCAGAGTAGCCCAAGGAAGGAAGGAAGCCAAATTCCAGGGAAGGATTAGTACTTGGAACTAAAGTGTCCTTTTCTTGGCCATATGTTTTCCCTATATATACTTCATTCTTTTTTATTATGGACTCTGATATTCTGTCTATCTCCAAGGCAGTAAATGGGTACAGCACAGCTGCCAGGTGTTACCATTCCAGACATATGCAAGGATTAATTCATCGTCTCCGAATCCCAATTCCAAATCAAAGGAAAAAAATTGGACCAGGTAGCACCAGGTATCTACTCCTCATCTCCTATAACCAGGAGAGTCACCAGGGAGAATCATGACTGCTGGCTGAAGCCTGCATCTTTGAGTAAACAGGGTAATTAATTCCCAGAGAACAAGGACATCATGGATAGTTCAGGCAGCCAGATAGGTGCTTATCCTCTAGGTCTCCATCCAAAATAGAGTAATGACACCTACTTTCATGTTTTAAGATTTAAATGCAGTAACATGTAAAGTGCAGACTCTGATGTTCCATTGCACAGCAATGATGTAAATAATGCAAAACCAGTGGATTACTCATGCTTAATTTATATTTTACTTTGAAATTTATTTCCTTTTTCTTGGTTATCTCTCTAAGTAAGGTAACTATTTTTTATACATTTTCTTTTTATATGTATGTATGTATGTATGTATGTATGTATTTATTTATTTATTTATTTATTGAGATGGGGTCTCACTCTGTCACCCAGGCTGAAATGCAGTGGTGTGATCTCGGCTCACTGCAACCTCCACTTCCCGGGCTCCAGTAATTCTCTAGCTGCAGCCTCCCAAGTAGCTGGGACTATAGGGGAGAGCCACCAACCCCTGGCTAATTTTTGGGGTTTTTTGTGGAGACAGGGTTTTGTCATGTTGCCCAGGCTGGTCCCAAACTCCTAAGCTCAAAGCCGTCCACCTACCTTGGCCTCCCAAAGTGCTGGGATTACAGGCATGAGCCACTACACCCAGCCAAATAAGGCAGCTATTAAGAAGTATTTATAGTCTTAGAGCCAACACTAACTGAGTGTGTGCATACAAGTGTGTGTGCATGTGTGTGTATTTTAGTTGCTGGTAAGAGACAGAATGGAAGTGGGAATTTCAAGAGTATGTTCAGTGTTAGCAGAAATGCATCCCAGGAATTTGAAAATTTCCACAACTGATGTAAAATTGGATCATCTTCAGATGGTTTATAGAAAATTGACTATATGTCACATCCTTCCCTTATTGTTGACTCCATTCCATCTTTCAGACATAGTTACCTTTTTAGTATACAGGTGATATATTCTACAGGTAGATTTACATGACCATTTACATTAATAAACCTTTTTAATATTATTGGTTAATCTTCAGCTTTTCTGCATAGTGGATCCAGGAGTATTAGTCCCATTTAATTACCAAGGATGATGCATCACAAAGAAGCATAACGATCCTTCATAGTACTCACTATCTGCCTACACAAAATAAGTCGTAAATATGTATTATCTTTGTTTATTGGTTTTTTTGTAGAGGTTGGCATCTTACTACATTATTGAGGCAATCTGAGAAATGACAAAGGGGAAATAGCCATTAAGATACAGGAAATTTTCTAAAGATCATTTAAGTGACTACTTTATATAACTATGCAAATGAATTGGAAAACCTAGATAAAATGTATAATTTTGTAGAAAAATATAATTTACCAAATGAACACCAATAGATATAGAAAATTTAAGCTGACTAATTTATATAGAAAAATTATAGAAAGTTATCAAAAAAGACCCCTATTTCAAAAAAAAAGCAAAAAACCAGATAGTTTTATAAGAAACCCTACTGCTTTCAGAAAACAGATATTACTACTGCTTCTTAAACTATTCTAGAATTTAAAGAAAGAAAACTTCAAATTTTACAAAGCTAGAAAAAAGCAAGCTCTAGAATTGAAAATAAGTCAGAACAAATGAACTGAATAGTATATCAGATTGATATATACAACACAGAGAAAATAATTACTCTTGAACATAGTACTCTTAACTTTTTACCTCCCTGGTAGGGTACATTTTAAGAACCAAGAGGATTACAATGAAATCTGAAACTTTATAATAGTTTTGTTGTTGGTAATTTAAAAGCTGTTTTATGTATAGTGTAGCATCAAGCAAATGAGTATGTTCGTGGTATTGGAAACTAAGACTTTCAGGAATAGATATGGCATACAAATATAAAGTCAAAAATTAAGAATTTTTTAAGTTTTAGAGTGATTTATTTGGGTTTTATTTTGGAGTATGGAAATGTGGAACTAGACAGAGGTGGTAGTTGCACGGCATTGTGAATATACTAAGCACAACTGAATTGCTCACTTTAAAGTGTTTACTTTTATGTGATATGAATTTCACCTCAATAAGTTAAAACATAATTTTGTTAAAGACATAGGAGTCTGGCTTTGGTCATAGCAAAACGGATTGTATTAGACTATTTCTCCTTTGTTAAAAATTATGAACCCTCAATAAAATATGAAAAAAGGTATTTGAAGGCCTGGTAGAGCAACCAAAAGCAGGCAGAAACTAGAGGGAAGTCAACCCTTAAAAGAAGGGAATCATACTGGGTGTGATCACATTTATATAGCCTTTCTTCCAACCGCTTTCCAGTCATGTGGCATAGACAACTGTATAGAACTCAAAGCAAAAAGACACTCTTACTGACAGAGGTCAGATAGATTAGAAAATAAAAGGGGTGTCTAAGAAAGGAGAGAACCCAAAAAGGGAACCCCAGAATCCACATAGTTTTCTTCTCAAATTCTTGGTTGACTCTTGAACCATGGATGTATAGGAAAGATTCCAAGGAGCTCAATGGAAAAGGAACAGCCAGTGGAAAGCAGCAAGACTGAGAAGAAATTTTGGCTGCTGGCCACCAAGGAGAGACAGTTTGGAGTATGAGCCTCATCACATTAGAGGGGCTTGGTAAAGACCTGGAACCTTTCCACTAAAATCACAGAAGGGCTGCTCCTTAGGAATAGAGACTATATCCCAGGAACTAGAAATTTACTATAACTAAGACCTAAAGCAAAACAGACTTATGCTAAAAAAGGATAAAAATCAAACCTCTCCAAACAGCTGTAAACTGTACATCAGCAGTCCCCAGCCTTTTTGGCACCAGGGACCAACTTACAGGTTTTCCATATGCAGGAGCAGGGGATGGTTTCGGGATGATTCAAGCACATTAAATTTGTTATGCACTTCATTTCTATTAATATTACATTGTAATATATAATGAAATAATTATGCAACTCACCATAATGTAGAATCACTGGGAGCCCTGAGGTTGTTTGCTGCAACTGGACTTTCTTTTCTGGGGATGATGGGAGATGGTGGCAGATCATCAGGCATTAGATTTTCATAAGGAGCATACAACCTAGATTCCTTACGTGCGCAGTTCACAGTAGGGCTTGCACTCCTATGAGAATCTAATGCCACCACTGATCTGATAGCTCGGGCAGTAATGTGAGAGATAAGGAGTGGCTGTAAATACAGATGAAGCTTTGCTCACTGGCCTGCCAATCACTTCCTGCTGTGCAGCCCAGTTCCTGACAGGCCATGGAGCAGTACAGGTGCATGGCTCTGGGGGTTGGGGACCCCTGCTGTACATAATCTTTGCAAGGGCACATGAATATACTAAACTCTGTTCACCAAGATACACTATATTCTGGGCCATAAAACAAGTCTCAGTAAATACAAAGGATTGAAATCCTACCAAGGATTGGAATCATATAGAGTATGGGGGTTTTGTTTTTGTTGTTTTATAGAGACAGACTTTTGCTTTGTTGCCCAGGCTAGTCTCAAACTCCTGGCCTCAAGTGATCCTCCTTTTCTCAAAATGCTGGTATTACAGATGAGAGCCACTGTGCCCAGCCCCTATAGAGTATGAAAATAGAAATCAGTAACAGAAATCTGGAAAACCTATACATGTTTGAAAAATTAAACAACACTTTTTAGTAATCCTTGGGTCAAAGAACTCACAAAGGAAATTAGAAAATATTTTAACTGAACGATAATGAAAATACAATATATTAAAGTTTGATGCCATTAAAGCACTGCTTAAAGGAAAAATTGTAGGTTTAAATATTTATTTTTTAAAAAGGTTTAAAATCAGTGATTTTAGTTTCCACCTTAATAATATCTACTCATTATATTGAATATTGACAGTGAAAAAAATAATATTCACTCGGTTTTTTAAAAAAGGTTAGCAGATTAGGATTTAGAAGGAAACTTTCTCATTCTGATGAAGATCTACTAAAATCCTCAAGCTAGCATCATACTTAAATATCAGAGGCTTCCCCCATAAGATTGGAAACAAGGCAAGGATATTCACACTCTGTTTATTCATTTAAGTAATAGATGTCTTAACCAGGATAATAATAAGTCATGAAAGAAATAGAAGGCATAAAGATTGCAAAGAAAGAAGTAAAACATCCTTATTTGCAGATGACACGATTATTTATATAGAAAATCCTGGCCTGGCACAGTGGCTCACTCCTGTAATTCCACCACTTTGGGAGGCTGAGGTGGGCAGATTGCTCAAGCTCAGGAGTTCCAGACCAGCCTGGGCAACATGGCAAAACCCCGTTTATACCAGGAAGTAGAAAAATTAGCCAGGCATGGTGGCTCATGTTTATAGTCCCAGCTATTCAGAAGGCTGAGGTGGGAGAGTTGCTTGAGCCCAAGAGGTCGAGGCTGCAGTGAGACATGATCACACCACTGCACTCCAGCCTGGGGGACGAAGTGAGACCCTGTCTCAGAAAAAAAAAAGAAATAACCCTAAAGTATCTATAATAAAGCTATTATGTCAAAGAAATTAATATAGTGGGATCACAAAATACAGGTGGGTCAGTGCACAAAAATTCAGTATATCAGTAATTGTATTTCTATACTATAAGCAGTAAACAATAGGTAAATGACATTTTTAAAAATTCCTTTTCTAAGTACACCAAGAAGCCTAAAAACCTTAGAAATAAACTTTATAAAAGAGGCACAACAGCTCTATACAGAAAAGTACAAAAACATTGCTGAAAGAAGTTAAAGAAGATCAAAATAAATGGGGATTTTTTATCAGTTGGAATACTCAATATTATTAAAATGTTTGTTCTTCCAAAATTCCGTGGACTTCACACAGTCCCAGAAACCCAACAGGCATTTTTGTAGCAGTTGATCAGTTGCTTCTAAAATTTATGCAGACATGCAGAGAACTCTCATAACAGCCAAGAAATCTTTACAAATAACAAAACTGAGAGACTCACTACCAGATTTCAACAGTAAAGGGGAAAATAAAAACAGGTTACTGGGCTTTATCTAATCAGTTGAAAGCCTTAATAGAACAAAGATTGATCTCCTCTGAGCAAAAAGAAATTTTGCCAGCAGATTGCCTTTGGACTCAAACTGTATTTCTTCCCTGAATCTCCAGACTGCCAGTCTACCCTGCAGATTTTAAACTTAACAAGCCTCTACATGCATGTGAGCCAGTTCCTTAAAATAAATCTCAAGCTCGCTCTCTCTCTTTCTCTGTCTGCCCCCTGTACCACTCTTCCCCATACACATACACACACACACACACACACACACACACACACACACCCCCTATTGGTTCTTTTTCCCTGGAGAACCCTTACTAATACACCATCTTAACTAAGTAATCAAATTTAGCATCAAAAAAGTATGAGACAAAGGAACATTACACAGCATAAACTGAGGGATTCTTGGCAAAAGTATTAAACCTTGTCCAATCAAGTATTTGTTTTATTTTATTTTTACTTTCTGAGGCCTGGCAGAACCAATCAAGTCTGAGTTCTAGTTTTCTAAAAATACAGGAGTTAGAGAAAGAAATTGAACTACACTTCAGACAAATTCAGAATGTGAGAACTTTCTTTGTGCAGATTTATTTATTTTTTAATATTTAAAAAAAGAGACAGGGTCTTGCCATGTTGCCCGTGCTGGTGTCAATCTCCTGGCCTCATGCTATCCTTCTGTCTCTGCCACCCAGAGTGCTGGGATTACAGGTGTGAGCCACCACACCCAGCCAGAATGTAAGAACTTTCTAGAAAACAGTTGGCCTGGCACCTTTTTAAAAAAGTATTGTGTGTCAAGAGACTACAGAAACATTACTATATGTAATGAATATCCATTATAAAATTCTCAGTTTGAAAAAAATTCTATGAAAGACATTTGGGAGACAAATAAAGCAAATAATCCAATTTAAAAATGGGTAAAGGATCTGAATAGATATTTTTCCAAAGATGATACACAAATGATCAACAAGCACATGAAAAGATGTTCAACAGCATTAGCTATCGGAGAAATGCCAATCAAAACCACAAAGAAATGCCACTTCACACCCACTAGGATGACTATAATCAAAAAGATAATAACAAGTGTTGCCGAGGATATGGAGAAATTGAAACCAACATACACTGCTTGTGGGAATGTAAAATAGTAAAGCTGCTTTGGAATACAGTTTGGCAGTTCCTCAAAAATTAAACATAGAGTTACCATATGGCCCAGCAGTTCATCTCTTAGGTATATACCAAGAGATATGAAAACATATGTCGATATAAAACTTGCACATGAATGTTCATAGCAGCATTATTTGTAATAGCCAGAAAGTGGAAACAGCTCAATACCATCAACCAATGAATGGATAAACCAAATGTTACCACATTCATACAATGGAATATTATTCAGCCATAAAAGTAATGAAGTACTGACACATACTACAATGCAGACGAACTTTGAAAACATTATGCTAAGTGAAGGAAGCCAGACTCAAAAGAGCAGATAGTGTATGATTCAATTTATATGAAATGTCTAAAACAAGTAGTTCTGTAGAGACAGAAAGCAGATTGGTGGTGACTAGGAGGTGAGGGATGTGTATAGATTTTCTTTGTGGGGTGATGGAAATGTTCTGAAATTAGATAGTGGTAATGGTTGCACAACTTTGTGAATATACTAAAAACTACTGAATTACACATTTTAGAGAGGTAAATTTTTATGGCATGTGAATTTTATCTCAATAAAGCTGCTAAAAATGAAATAGTAGTCAAAATGGCCCCAATTTTGTAACTGGAGTCTCCTTGTGTGGCAATAACTCTTACCCAAGACTTCTGTTGGTCACATGAAAGGGGAGCATTCAAACTTGTTCATACTTCCAGTGGCTTTTGAGATATCTAAGGCAGATGCCTTGCCTAGTACATACAAGAATCCAAGAACTAAGAATGCACTAAATGTAGACCCTTATAAGCTGTTTTCTATTTTCCACTTGAAAGAAGTAGTTTCCCGGCATCTGAGACTTCCCAGAACTTCAGCATCAAAGGAGCAGCTATATGAACGTTTCCAGTAGCAGCTGCCATCCACTAGTTGGGAGGAGTGTATGCCACCACAGATCAAATCCCACTTTAGCAAACCTATGCCAGTGGAAATTTCACTGTAACCAAATATTTTGAAGATCTCAATCATTTAAAGTAATAATATGTAATAAAATGCTAGTATAGTAAGAGAAATGGGATAGTCTCTTAGAATTGACTGTAGTGGGATATGACATCTGTCATTGTCAATAGGCTGATTTTTAGTCATCTTAGAGACAAAGTGTAAAGGATAATAGTTTGCAGTGTAGTTAGAGATGAGAAACAATAAAATGATATTAAGTACTAGATTAATGATTTTAAAAATGCTATAGTAATTCAAAATTTGCTACTAGTGTCCATTTATAGAGCACCTACTTTGAGCATGAAAACTTCCTGTGTACTGGAGATGGAATGACAAAAAGATCGCCTCTATGTAAAGTCTGTTATTTAAAAGTTTGGTCAGGTATTCTAAAACGTTATTAACAAGTTTATATACTTAAAAGCCAAAAGTAATCTTTTATTTTCTTCTGTAATAGATGCTGTGAGAGAAGTGAGGAAATATTCCTCAGTTCATACCATTGAGAGGAGCTCCACCAGCAGACCTGATGCCTATGAACACACACAGATGAAACTTTTTAGGTCTCAAAGAAATCTTTACATTTCTGGATTTTCACTATTTTTTTGGCTGTAAGTGAAAAAAAAAAAAAAAAAATAGTAGAAGCACAGTTTAAAAACACGATTTATGCTTTTCTTTCTCTTTTTGTCCACCTTTACTGTAGTTTTTTTTTTTTTTTTTTTTTTAAAGAGAGACAGCCTTTTGCTCTGTTGCCCAGGCTGCAGTGCAGTGGTGCCTTCATAGCTCACTGTAACTTTAAACTCCTGGGTTCAAGTGATCCTCTCTCTTCAACCTGTCGTTTCTAGGACTACAGGTACACACCACCATGTAGGGCTAATTTTTAAATTTTTTGTAGAGATGGGGTCTCACTATGTTGCCTGGACTGGTCTCAAACTCCTGGCCTCAAGTGATCCTCCCACCTTGGCCTCCCAAAGTACTGAAATTACAGGCACAAGTCACTGTACCCAGCCTACTTGTAGATTTTTTTATAACATCTTTGTAAAAGAATTCAGATGATATACCCAAATAACAAACAGTAGTTAGCAGCTTGTAGGTTTGCAAAGTCCATAAGGCCCTGAATGATCAGGCCCCTGCCTCTCTGTGGAGCCTTGTCTCATACATGTCTCTGACATGTACAATATATTCCACCCTTACTGACCTTCACCATTTATTCATTCATTCCATCTTGCAACAAATATTGATTGAGTTCTGTAGTGTACCTAACTCTTTCCCGTTTTAGGGTCTTTACACAACCTATTCCTTTTGCCGGAACACTCTTTTCTTTCCTCATTTCCTGGCTAACTCTTACTCATCCGTTAGCCTCTTTCTCAAAGCCTTCTGTGGCCATCACTACCCACAAACTAGGTAGGTCTTCTCTTACAGATGCTCAAAGAATGTATATATACTTCATTTTCTAGTGTCATTCTTGGTTGTAATTAAATACTGTTTAAACTTTTGCTTACCCAACTAGGAGCTAAACCCCCGAGGGCATGGACTTTGCTGTTTTCCACTGCATCTGCAGTGCCTAGCGGAGTGTCTCAACACTTAGCAGTTCCTGAGTAAAGGAATGTCTGCTGAATGAATAATTGAAGATAGTAGTCACTACTTCTAACAATGGCAGTTACCCATAAACAGATGTGAGCGAGCTGTTCTTCAGCTTGATTGACCTTACACAATGTTCCTTAAATAGCAGAATTTGAACTGGGCCAAAAAAAGAATTCTCTTCCTGGCCCTGCCACACTAGATGAAATTTTCCTGTTTCTACTCCTCCAAACTAAAGCCTTCTACAGGAAAACAAATAAGTACCACTGAACCTGTATTCTAAGTGCTGGTCTTCTAACAAAGATTCCAAGGAATGAGACATGGGCCTGTTTTTACTAAAAGACTTGAATTAAAAAAAATAATGGCTTTTGCCTAAACATTATCTGCCACCACCACACCTATACCTAATGGGGAGTAATTTGGCAATGACTGTTTTAAAATAAGTTTCTGATGATTGGCCAGTAACACATTATTCTGATTTTTTTTTTTCTTAGAGTGTTGAGACGTCTGGTTACGCTTATTACTCAACTGGCAAAAGAACTGTCAAACAAAGGTGTACTTAAAACTCAAGCAGAAAATACTAACAAGGCTGCCAAAAAATTTATGGAAGAAAATGAAAAACTAAAACGGGTATTTAATTTTCTTTGTAAAAATTAAATGTTGTTAGTGTTCCCAAGGAGTAATATATTTGTTTTCAGCATCTAATATATTTGTTTTCAGCATCAAAAAGAGCATTTTTATATTGTATAAGCAGAAAATGACCATAATTAACAATATTTTATGTAATGATTGTTTCAAGAATAGTTTTACTATTCTTTAGAAATGCTTGTTCCCACTAATATTTTCACTATTGTTTGGATTTGCTTTTTCTCCATAGTGGATTAATACCATTGGACCTATTTTCTGTGATTTAAGGCAAAAATAGTATTCTGGGAATATGAATTTTATTTCCTTCATTACCCTTAAGTTTACTTTATAATCTAAAGTCTTTATAACTCCATTTCCATTTTTTCTTCAGTTAAAGTATTTTTAAGCCTAGATTTTAGTTTTCTTTTAAGTGATTGGTTTACAGAAAGCAGAGAAACGTCATTGATGCTAGATTGATAATTTCACATAATATTCGAAATATTTAATGTTATTCCTTTATTTTCTATCCTTTGATCTCATTTCACAGTGGTAAAAATAAAAACACAGTCATCAAAGCTTTGATTGATACGTGATAACTAAACTCGAAAGCACATAGCCTTGTATTTATGGAACAACTGATCATGTACATATCTTAATTTAAAATTATACACATCATTTTGGAGTAATGATTTGTAACCATCAGAACACTGCTTTTTTTCCTCTTCAGTTGTTTTTCTCTTATTCCTTAGCTCTAAGAAAATGGAAAGTGTTATTTTTCCCATACATACTATAGTTAATACACTTAAATTAGTCTTGCCCTTTTTTTAAAAAAAAAAAAAAGCACCCTCCTCAAAATACTTTTGCAACTTTTCTCTTGGAATTGTTTTCAGAACCATTTACCCATGCAAGGAAACTTATGTCATGATTACCAATTCCTTGACCCTGCATGATTTATTCTTTCTGTTTGTTTGTTTTCCTCTCCTTTGGTTCCATGCTATTCTGATTCACTGCTTCCTGCATAGCTGTGACCCAATCAGAGGCGGCACAGATATGCTGGGCTAAAGCCAGTACACAATGGGGAGAAAGTCTGTGAGTGGGACATAAAAGCAGTTGTCAGTGCCCAAAATATAACTAATTGACCAATAAAGTGACCAATAAAGGCCATAAGTGAGAATGTAGAAGATGACATCTATTTCAAGGTGCTTCATGTAGGTTTTGAAAAATAAGCTAAGGAAAGATAAGCTTGTGAAGACACCCCCTTTGTAATGTCCTTTCTTCCCTTCCTCCCTTTCCTCTCCTTCCCTCCCTTCCTTCCCTTCCTTCCCAGACTGATCTCAAACTTTTGGCCTGAAACAGTCTTCCCACCTTGGCCTCCAAAAGTGCTGGGATTAATAGGCAAGAGTCACCACGCCCAGCCATACCTCATCATTCTCTATCAGAGACACATTTTCCACTGGAAACTGCATTACCCTGACATCCAAGAGACTTAGGTGCTAGTTCCAATGTGTGACATAGCACAAATCACCTATGTTAATGGGCCTCCAAGTTCCTTAGCTATAAATAATAGTTAACATTGTGCCAGGTATTGCTTCAAGTGCTTCACAGTAAGGTTTTTAACTGTTAATTTTCACAAAAGCCCCATGAATTTGGTATTGTTATTATCTGCATTTTATAGACGAGGAAACGGAGGCACAGAAAGGTTAAGTGACTTGCACAAAATCATTCAGCTAATATGTGACACAACTAAAATTTGAACCTAAGCCGCCTGACTCTAGAATCCACATTCATAACCACATTATTTCGTGCCCTCAACTCCTATGTTATCCGATAGAACAATTTCCTCGTGGTACCTGTGACCCCTTTCTGTTCTGATATTCAGTTAAAGAAATGAAATAATTATGAAAAAACAATTAACTTTTAATTTTGCTACTTCAACATGATAGAGCTTTACTGTGCCCTGATTTTTTTTTCTAGCCACGTAACTTACCAAGGTGGGATAATTTGGATGAGACAGTGAACACCTGTGTTGTTGTAGCTGGTGGTCATTAAATTTCAGATTTCAGGGTTCTTGGTCTTTCTCCAGTGTCAAGTTACACATCATAAATTTAGGCAAGTTTACAGGTGCAGTAGTGAAAGCTTATTTACAAGACTAACACAAATCCAACTTTTCCAAGTCAATGGCATGAAAATTCAAGCAGTCAGCGAAAACATTCCTGCAACTCAATGATTCTCTTCTAATTTGGGTAATCACTGGAGATTTTATGAACTGAATTCAGTGAAGTATTAGCTGGAGTTGTTTTCAACTTGAAGTAGGCAACAAATTAAAAGGGATTTGGAGAATTTTTTTCTTGTGCTGCTCTTTGCAAAAAAGAAAAACTTTTTTTATTAATTTGAGAAGATATGAGGCTCCTTTAGTTTCAGAATGTACTTCAGTCCTCCTGTCTCCAAAAAATAGTCCTTGGGATTATATAATATATGCATTAGAGCTTTAATTCCTCCTTCTGAGCTGCCTAATCTCTATATAGCACAGTAGTACTGTATTTGGTCTTGTGCTACAGTTTTTATGCTCGTCTCATCCTTTCTACTAGATTGAAGTTACTCGAAAGTCAAGACCATGTTCCTCTTACATTTTTATCTCTTACAGCACCTTGCATTGTAAAATATTTGCATGTAGTCATTACTCAGTAGAACTTTGTGTTTTGTTGAATATATGGGCTTACATTAGAAAATGAATCACCCTGCAGTAGAATTTCCTCTCTTATGTCAGTCTGTTTAAAATTATCCTGTGTTCCTTTTTTACCTGACAATGGAACCTGTCAGTATCAAGTTGCTGCCACTGGCCAGGTACAGTGGCTCATGTCTGTCATCTCAGCGCTTTGGGAGGCTGAAGTGAGAGGATTGCTTGAGGCCAGGAATTCACGACCAGCCTGGGCAATATAGCAAGATCTCTGTCTCTACAAAATATATATATTTATATTTATATGTTTATATATATATATTTTTTAATTAGCCTGCAGTGGTGGCACATGCCTGTAGTCTCAGCTACTCAGGAGGCTGAGATGGGAGGATCACCTAAGCCCAGAAGGTCAAGGCTGAAGTGGCTATGGGTTGCACCACTGTACTCCAGCCTGGGTGACAGAGTGAGACCCTGTTTCTTAAAAAAAAAAAAAAGTAGTTTCTGTCTCTTTATTTAGTTTACTGACGTACAACAGTATACATACTAGGTTTTTCAAACATTTACTTTGTCTTTCTTGGTAATTTAAATTCTTTGTCATTTCTTTAAGTCAGCTTCTTAGTTCTGATGATAATTATAGTTTCTGTTCACAATACAGATTATGAAATTTTTACTCCATGATAATTTTATTTTGATCAGTTGTTTTATTATTTGGATCTTAATTGTTCTTGCCTAGAAAAGATAAGCTGCAAACACTAACATTTTTAAAACTAGAATCAATTTTAAAATATAAAGAGCTTTATAAAGGATTAATGGAATAAAAGTAATTTGGTAACTATTCAGTGAAAATTAGAATTTTCCAGCTGTAGAAATGGCCGTCATTTCCCACTTACCCATCTCCACTCTGACATATTCTTCTCTTACAAATTTGTCTGTATAAAAATAGGCTGAGTAGATCGCTGTACAATCAGAACATAATGGTTTTCTAATTAATATCATCTTCAGAACTGTTTTTTCCCCTTAGATTTACATTTCTCATTAATTGATGGAGAAAGACTGACATTATTTACCTAAATACTTTTAAGAATATTATTTTAAATTCTTATGTTCACTTTAGAGATTTCAGCCATAATAAGAAATCTTTTTTGTGTGTTTGCCAAACATTAAGTTTCTGTTAGCAAAAGTACATTGTAGAAAACTATAAAATTCTGAAAAGGACAAAGAATAAATTATAGACTAGTAATTTTAGATAGGTTACTCAGCTCATTTTCTGTAAGAACGTCTGGCTATTGCAATTTAAGCTTAATTCTTCCTATATCTCCCTTTTGCAATAGATTTTGAAAAGCCATGGTAAAGATGAAGAATGTGTTTTGGAAGCAGAAAATAAAAAACTAGTACAAGACCAGGAGAAACTGAAAACTGAATTAAGGAAGACTTCAGATGGTAACTTTGTGTACATGTGAAAAAGTAAAAAGACTTGCAGGATACTTTACGCTGTACACTTCACTGTTTTTCCTAAAACAAAACTAATGCCTAAATGTTCTTCTAAGATACCAAGAATGACCTATTTATAAATTGTTGTTCAAATATGAAGATAAAACATTGTGTCAGCCAAGAGAAACATGCTCTGTTATATAGAAAAACATGTAGGTGTTTAAGATCTGTGTTGTAAATACAGATGTTCTTGCCTTAGCAAAAGAGCTATGTTCCTAAAAAGTTGTTTATAAATGTGTTTTTATAAAATGAATCACATTTTTCCATCATCGTATATTCCTCCTCTCAGAGAAGCAATTGCAGGGGAACAGTTTTCTTACAAGAAAATATATTGTTTATTTCAAGCACTAATATATTCTACCTGTTAGACATAAGGAAAGCGTTCCTTGAAAGAGACAGGTAGGCACAGAGTAGGCAACAATATCTGGGTTGTCAGCTAAGAATTTGAGTGTCTCCTTCCAACATAACATTGTAGTGTAGGCTTGAAGTGGAGCATCCCAACTCCATTTCCCTGAAGGCAGCGATTTCTTCTACACTAAAAAAAAAAAAAAAAAAAAAAAAAAAGTTTTGCTACTGTTTTTTTCTTAGTCAAAGAACAGATTATTTTTGTTGCATCTGCATAGCATAGAAAAGTAGATACCCCAAATTCAATGTCATCCCAGAAAACTCTGAGTGTAAGTTTGTGGCTTGACGCTTTGCAACATTTCTGCATACAACAGATAGGTTTTTATGTTGGCCAGACACTGAGAAACCTCACCATCAATTGGTGTTAAGGTACATTGTTTGGAAAGGGTTTACTTCAGTCAGGATGTATTTGAATTTGAGATGGAAAACATAAAAATAAAAGCTAATTCTGTAAATAGAACAAAAATCCACTGGAGAATATTTATGTGATACAAAATGCTTCAGTCACGTTCCTACTTTTTACTTCAAGTGAAAAAAAGAAGACAGTTCAGAAGCAATAAGTTAAAAAATAAATTACCCTTATAGACAAAGTGGTATATTATGTAGTTGGCATAGTGTAGCCCAAAATTCAAGAATCTTTTAGTTGGTACTGTTGCCTTTTCTGTAATTCCAAAAGATTTAGAACATGATCAAGAAATGTTATTGTTTATATGAAAATGAATTTAAGGTTACCTACCATTTACAACAGACATTTCAGAAGAGAAACTAGTGTTCTTTTTTTAACCCTGCATAAAATATAGCTAGTAATTCTTTTGAAGAATGAAACCATCTATTTCCAAAACACAAAAATATTGCTTCAAAATCCTGCTTTTTTCTGTATCCACCAAGAATCTCTTTTCTTATGTTATAAGCAGGGTGGTACAAAAATAAAAGAGACAAGAGTGTATGTGTACTACACTTTTCTTAACCCTGCTCAATTTAGTTTCTCTTTTCATCTTTCAAAAATTCCAGCTCTGAGATATTTTGAGCTTTAACTCTTTAAATCTGGCATATAACTTAACTTAGTATTATATGAGCATTTCTTTAAAAGATAAAATCAGATTTTAGAGAAAATGAACTCTTTGACAATGTAAGCATTGTGTTTACAATCTGATAACAAGTGATAGCAGCTTCTGTGTTTGAAGTATAGACTGCAGAGATACTTTCGAAGTGAATTAGTGTTCAGGTAGAGGCAGATTTTACCTGTTTGAGTGTGTCCTGTTTGGTTCTGGCAAGATATATAATATTTTATGAACACATTTTATTTGCTCTATGTTTTTTTAAAAACTAACATTTGTAATGACCTTGAGAAGATCAAAGTTCTATTTCTAAAGAGAGTGTTTCCTTGGTCATGTTCTGTTGACCTAAACCAGTTAAATTCAGTAAGGTAAGAACTAAGAAAATATATCAATTAATAGTGCATGATTTGGATGAATTCAGTGGTACAATACTTTGTGCACAGTACCACTCAAAAATATTCACTGATTTCTAAATATTGAGGGTGTTAAGGTGACAAGGCTTAAGAAAGATTTAGAAAGAGATCTTATATTTGAAAATTGAGTAAAAAAGCAGTGTTTTCTTTTTTTACAGGAAAATAGGGTGTTTTCCATGTGAATTTTCTTATCCTTCATGTTACTTAAATCTAAGTGAAACATTTTCTCCCAAGTGTATTAGTGGAAACAAAACGTAAATACAAATGTTTGTTTAAGCTAGTTAGCCCAAATTTAAAAAGTGGCATTCTGTAGGCAGCTACTAAGAACACTCTATCAGTTGTGGCAAACACCTTCAGTTTTTAACCTCCAACTCCTATTTTGACCAGAGTTTGTAAACTATTAGCGGTGCTTCCATGCAGTAATATCACCCTAGCACAGACATTGTATTTAGTGGAAAAACCTTCTGATTTCCAAGGAGATTGGCTTTAAAGGTCTCTTCCAGGAAAACTACTTATTTTCATAAATGAATACCTTCCTTTATTCTTTTTTTTTTTTTTTTTTTTTTTTTTTGAGATGGAATCTCACTCTATCGCCCAGGCCAGAGGGCAGTGGTGGGATCTGACTCACTGCAAGCTCTGCCTCCCAGGTTCACACCATTCTCCTGCCTTAGCCTCCCGAGTAGCTGGGACTACAGACGCCCACCACCACGCCCATCTAATTTTTTTGTATTTTTAGTAGAGACGGGGTTTCACCATATTAGCCAGGATGGTCTCCGTCTCCTGACCTCTTGATCTGCCCGCCTTGGCCTCCGAAAGTGCTGGGGATTACCGGTGTGAGCCACTGTACCCAGCCTCCTTTATTCTTGTAACTAGAAATATGTAGCATTCAGTCATTGCATGCATCTAAGCAATGATAAAAGTAAATATGGTTTAAAAAGTGATTGAGCTGCATGTGGAAATGTCTGTTCTTCATTCTTTTAGGAGCAGGAATACATATAGATATAAAAAACATGCCATATTTTAAAAGGAATTCTTAGGGCTGCCGATCTTGTAATAAAGGTTGAATTGGCAGTGTATGTCTCCTACATAAAGGAAAAGAGAAAACAGTAATTGGGGGAAATTTCTTGATGATGCATTTCTTCTCTGTTTCCTGCTTTCCTTTGTTCCTTCTTTGTTTCATCAGCAATTTTTTTTTTTTTGAGACAGTCTCACTGTTGCCCAGGTTGGAGTGCAGTCATGTCTTACTGCAACCTCAAACTCCTGGGCTCATGCGATCCTCCCACCTCAGCCTCCTGAGTAGCTGGGACTACATACGTGCACCACCATGCCTGCCTAATTTTTTAAATTTTTTGTAGACACAGGGTCTCGCTTTGCTACTTCATCTGGTCTTGAACTTTGGCTTCAAGCCCTTCCTCCTCAGCCTCCAAAAATGCTGGGATTACAGGCCTGAACTGCTGTGCCTGGGCCTCATCTATTTTTAAAAGAACTTTTCAAGTAATTCATTTATTGTAAAGTCATTTAATGTGGAGCATAATTAACACTTTCCTTAAAAAGTATGCCTCTTGAGGATAAAGCAAACTTTAAATAAATTTCTTAAAGTATATACTAACAAATCAGAAACTGAGTGTAAAGACCTATTATGGGTCCCTAAGTATTAGCAGCATACAATAGACATACTAAATTTGGACCAGGAAATAGAACCCCCCTAGTCCTCTACTTAAAATAATGATAATTAAACTCTCTTCCTGGATAAATGCTTTCATATCACCTTGACTTACCTTGAACAAAACTAAAATTACCTTTTACGGACCAACTTTAATACCCTTGAAGAAGTTAAGTTTTTTTTACCTTTTATTGCCAGTTAACATGGGGACCAGATAGTGAAAAGTAGCTGAAGTGCTTTTCAAGAGAAATTGGAGATCAAGACAAGATAGAAAATTACAGGGGAATTGCTGTTCTGTATACCCAAAACCCTAAATTCCTGCCTCTTGAGTGTTAAGAATAGACATAAGCTTTGTATACAAGTTTAAAACAATAGGATTTCCAGTTTCGTACAAATGAACGACATATTCATCTAAAAATAAATTCTAAAAGTTTACCCTAAGCATGTTTTACAGTGGTATATTTTTATGGACATGAACTCGGTTATCTTTTACCTACAGTTATATCAAAGCCACCAGCTTATTTTAAAATTATTAATGCTTAAAAACAGTTTGCTATTTTTGGTCATATGGTTTTTTTTGTTTTTTGCTTTGTTGCCTTTTAATGCACTTTTGTGATTTAATAAGAAAAAAACATACTGTTTCTTATTTGTTTTCATGTCTGGAAGTTTCTGCTTCATTGACATCTTTTTCCCTTCTTGTATCAACTGAAAAAAAAAAACTCCGCATTAAGAAATAATAGTATAGTTTATTTGATGGTTGCGCCAATAGGCAATATATAATTAATAGTATTTTAATTACTTAAAGCAAATAAAACTCATGACCAGCCCTTTTATTTAGGTAAATAAAGGATTTATTAGTATTTATTAGTTCACCTCTGTGTTATTTTCACGTACTGATGTTATTGTCAAAACAGAAAAAAGGGTTTGCTCGCTATCAGACTACTTTTCTTGGACTGATATGTAATGGTGATATTGCATCCTTTTTGGTTCCCTGTTACATTCCCATTTAGTTGTGACGTTTCCCTTTCCTGTGAGTTTCTTATCTGTTATCAAGGCCTATACTCGTAAAATAAACTATATGTCTTTCAGTAACCGGGAGGAATAGCTATAAGGAAGATATTAAGACAGAAATTCAAAGATACCTTATATATTATTCACAGTACTAGCAAACATAGTGATGTCTACCCTGAGGAAAAGCTTTTATAATCTCTACAGAGGGACATTAAAGCAAGAGAAAACAGTTTCTTCTCAGAAGAGCTTGTAGTCCAGATGGTGAACCAAACATATGTACATAAAGGGATTCACTTCCTCCCCAGTGTGAAACATGGGCTAGTCTACCAAAAACATGAGTGGAGAGTGCTAAATGCATACTGAATCAAGGAATGTTCCAGGTGATAAAGATGTAATCAA